TTGTGTTGTACGACCAACGCACATATATATACACGCGCATGCTCACAGGGCTCACTGCTAACCAGAAAAAAATTATAGTAAACGAGCGGCTCGCTCACCCGTGCTAGACATTCGGAAGGTTTTTACGCGGGTCAGGGACATATTCGGAGGCGTTGCCTCTCTTAAATTTGTCCTCCACACACAAGCCGCTTATTAATACACACGTAACACATACGATATACTTTATCGTCTGGTTATTGAACTGTTTTTCAATTTTGTCTCTAGAAAAAAAATGGATATTTCGAGGTGAACGATCGAGCGATCTCTGTTAAATATTTAACGCGTGAACACATTAGAAATTTTCGAGGTCAAATTAATAAAATATGACAAAAATAGAAGGTAACCAGGACTACGTTCGATCCACATGTAACGATGATTCGTCACGTTCGTAATTTTTTTTTTTTTTTTATTCTTTTACAAGTATCGTCAAGGACGATACAACTCGTTGTACCGTTAAATTATTTGATACTTCATACTCGATAGATAGGAATCTTAGGTAGGATTGTGTAACTCTTTCGTTGAAGGATCTTTTAGTGCAAATAATTTAGTGATGTAGAGGAGTGGAAAGAAGTTAAAAAAGAATCATACTGTAAAGTAAAAAGTTAAACATTGAATGCAACTTAATGCTTCAATTAACGTTCATTATCGACCTAGTCGTGAGTTTAGTCGTGAGTCTAGTGAATCTAAATAGTTTGGATATTAAACACTTCTAGTATGTAGGTTAGCATAAAACTTTCTCACGTATCTACGGCATCTTTCTAAATATACGTTGACATCTGCTATTTCTTCTGTTATCCAAATCGCTTTCCCTTACCCAACGTATACACCGACCGTGGTGTATAATAATTTCACGTTACATCGTTATCACACTGCCATAAGTGTTTTACGATACTCTCTTGTTATCAATCTACCACTATCAAGAGGTAGTAAACTCGTTCCATGAATCCCTTGTACCTTCTTCTCTGTTAAATATAAATACAATCCAAATTGACGACGCGTTAAAGTAAGTAAAAAATATAAAAAGTAATCTGCTCTGTGCTTTTCTGTCATCGAGAAGGCGGTCGAAAATCAAAGTTGAAAATCAATGTTGAAAAAAATAACTGATTAAAAATTTCAAGTAAAATTACTTATTAAGTAATTATTTATTAAAATATTCGTAATATTACATTACATTCTGGCATCACAATTATTTCTTCTTATTATTATTATGTTTCAACCAATAAATTATCGTAATTATCGAAGTAATTCGTAATTTTAAACTATTAAATTTTCCCCATCACTGTCGAAAACTTACGTATTGCGGATGGAAAAGGAGAGGATGCTGCTTGCAACCAGGGCATGTCGACGGAGATAGGAGCGGGTCGCGGAGAGAAAATCCGCGGTGTTTCGTGCGGCGTAACAACTTTCTTTCCTCGGATAAGGACGCGTGGGTAGCGGCCGAACGTGGGGGACCACCTCGAGGAGGAAGCGTTTCCTAGGGTAACGGCCAAGGAGCCGCCGTGTTCGAGGAAAGGCAGAAAACTTTCTCCACGCCCGCGACTACACGAAATGGAAACCTTGGAAATCATTCTTGGAGAGAAGTTTCGATCGAATCTTCAAATTTATTTTTTTTTTTTTCGGAAATTGTTTCGAAAATGAAGAAAATTTTTTTTTTTTTTAAAATAAAATTCTAAAATTCTAATCTAAATTTCTAAAAATAAAAATAATTTCTTAAAAGTCGAGATTAGAATTGGGCTAAAGCGATCTTTTGGTCGTTCGCCAAATGTGATTCTAAATATAATTCATTCATCTTTAAAAATCTTTGTGTAATTTTCGTTTTTATTATTATTGGAACGATAAAATTAAATATAGCTGCACCTATGCTTACGTTACAGAAGGTGCGTCGATAAAAATAATTGGATTCCATATTTACAAAATATAAAGCGACAATGGAAAGAATCAATTGATAATTCATATGTGTAAATAATATAAAAGAAAAAGAAAAAAAAAATCATTGACTTAAGTGATAATGATAATGATATAATAAAGTATGCATAATAAAAAACAATAAAGGAAAGACAATAAATAATAACACGGTTTATTCGTCATAGATAACGATTCGATTAAGGTAATTAGTATCGTCCTGTGGTCCAACAAAACACCTGTGACGTAGTATCGATACATTTTAGTATGCTCGTTTCGTTAAACTGATTTTATCGATGTCTTGCGTACACAGAAAATTCCGACACAAAGTGAATAGAAAAAATAAAAAATACGTCAAAACATCGAACAAAAAGGTATATCGAACTACTTTTTGTCATTTTCGATGGAATGTTTTAGCATAGTAATTTAATATAAAACGTTTATTTGCATCTATGCGAATATTCCAAATTATAATTTACAATCGAGTCTGCTTGTTATCTCTGTTCATCGCTTTGAATAATTTTGTTAGCTTCGTTGAAACGTTTCGTTCGTAAAACTATTTTATCGTAGCTCGATTAAATTTAACATCGGCATTTGATTTTATCAACTTTCTTAAAAATTTCTCTTTAGACGAGTCCAATTCCTTGACGTAAACGTGATGAAAATAAAGAAAAATCCTATTAATTTTCGTCGCGTTAGCAAAATTTCAAATGTTTGCATTGTTTGAAGGTTATGCTGCTCGTTATTCACAGACGTACGGTTACGATACTTATGTCCTTACTTGTTCGAATTTCAACAAGTCATTGCAACCCAGAGAAAAGGAAAAATTGAAAAAATCTTCTTATCCTTTTATTCGTGATGAAACACGTGGTGACGAGTGAAATTATGAAAAAAGGAAACCTGAAATTTTCACGAGACAGGCAGAGATAGGAACATCAAATATTCCGAAGGTAGGTTAGCTCGATTGGGAAATCAAAGAACGGAAGACACGAACGTGGTCGTTCATCGTTTGCGGATTGCGAAATATAAAATTCGGCGTTACATCAATTTCTTTCTATATATTATTGTTCGTTGAATGAACACAAAATATTTTTTTTTTCTTTCGGATAATATTTCGTGCAAAGATGTTTTTGAAAAGATGTGTAATAAACATGGAGATGTTATTAATAACATCGTGTTTATTGTAAACAGATTCATTTGATTTTTTTCATTTATGATTTATGATAGAACGTTGATCGAGATATTTTTTTACCATTTTCATGTAATTTGTTGATTTTCCATCGTTATCAAACAATATTTCTACGGATCGATTGAAATGAACACGTTACCTTGAAAACCATGATTTTTTCCTAGAAAATGAACGTTTAATATATTATACGTTAAAAATTGAATCGTGATCAAATTGATTAAAAATTTAATCAATAATTCATAGTGTTATGTTATTGACTGCATTATGCCGAATAAATAAAAATTTATGTACAATGAAATCGAATTAAAAAATCGCTTAATAGATTACATGTTCGTATATTAAATATGTTTAATATACGATATTATTGCAATGAGCTATTCTCGTTCACTCTCTGGTGGTCACGCTTTCTCTAAGAAATTCGAGACAGAGCTTTGCTTTTCCATTTGTGCAATATACTTAGCAATTATATTTTATTTAAAGTTATTTGAGATAGATACTTGTATATCCTGTATTGATTTACAATCAATACAAATGCACGGAAACAATTTATTATTTATATTCCAGAAAAAATCTATTTTAACCTTGTTTTTACATCGATATATCTTCGTGTAAAAATTTGAAATTTAATTTCTATATTTAATAAAAATATACATATTTATAATAAGAGTTTTTTTTTTTAATGATCTTAAATAGTTTTCATATTAATAGTGTTGCGACGCACAATATTTGAAAGATAAAAATTAATTCTTAACAGACTCATAATCAAATTAATGATCTGAATAATCATCTGATCGAACGTTACTTGATATTTTGTGGTATAATCTTGATAGTTCTTTTCTGATGTGAACCTATTCTTCTGTGAATTTTAAAATGCATGGATTGAAGATTGTTATGTTTTTAACACATTATATCTCTGAAAGAAAGACAGAAGCTTCTTCCAATGGAAGCAATTGCGAAATTTTTTGGAATATTTCCGATACTGAAATAGTTCGATTCTAATAGTTTTTTTATGAGAGAATAGTAAGTATTTGTACTCACTCACTACTGGAGAATCTTCAAGGTTTTTGATTTATGATGTTTAAAATCTATCGAAATACAGAAAATAACTGTAAAGAAATTATGAATTACATACCATTTAAGTAAACTGATATTTCATGATGAACGAAATTCTATATTTTTTCGTTTAAAAATAACGATAAATTTTTGACCGTATCGTAAACCTTCTCTACGTTCTTTGTTATGAAGAATTATTAGTATGCAGCTATACTCATATAATCATATATCTCAATAAATATCGAATTGATATGTATTATTGTTATGGATAATTGTTATATTATTATTTGATTGTGAAGTCAATGAAACATTAAGAAATGAAGAATAAATTATTTTTATTCCTATAAGAATAATTTCCTATAAAAATATTTTAGCTTGCTTTCTTCTTCACTTCTATGTTTATATTTTAAATGATTTAATAAGTACTTGAATAATGTTTTTAACTATAGATTTGAGTTTAAAGAAATATATTTAAGATTGCTTCCCAAGATAACTTGAAATAAACTAAAATTGTTGTTTTGCATTAATTCTTATTCATGCTATTACATGTGAAAATATATGATAGAATTATCTTTATACATAATATAATTTATATTATATTATTATCTTTATAATATAATATTTAATGTATATTTATGTATATTTCACAACAAAGTAGAAAAATTTCAAGAAAAATATTGATTATTATATAGATTAAAAAATACAAAATTTTTACATTTAAATTTTTTTATAAAATAAATCGATTCTATCGAATATTGATGTGCATCATCGATTCATCGAGAAGTTTGATAAAAGTCGCATAGTGAAAGCCTAAAATGGCGATCAGTAGACGCTAGTAACAGCTGTTCTGACGCTAGGAAGGTATTGGAGTGTAAAATTTATATATCTTTCTTTTTTTATCATTAATTTAATTGAATATATATTTGATAAACTTAATAATACCAATGATTAATTGGAAAAAATCAATCTATTACATATATTCAAAGAAATAAATAAACGAAAATGCTTGTCAAGATATAGGTTATATATCGTATTTACGTATAGCCTGAAAATGATTTTTGCGTTTATAACATTTTATTAAATAAAATAAAAGAAAAAAGAAAATTCATTTTTTAATAAAAAACGTGCCAAAATGTCAAATTGGAACGAAAGTAAGGGCCCGATTCCTCCACGATGGCTTCATTGTCCACGGAAAGCAATCAAATTAATTCAAAATAAATTCCTTGCTTTCAAAACTCCATTGTCATCTTCATATGACAACCAAGTACCAGAAGAATGTCGGTTTACAGTGGATATGTTATTCGCATCGTTAAAAAGTCAGAAAATAAAGTTAGGTTTATGGATTGATCTAACTAATACTACAAGATTTTACGATAAAAAAAGCTTAGAAGCGTATGGTTGCAAATATTTAAAGTTACAGTGTAGAGGTCATGGTGAAACTCCTTCTGAAGAACAAACAAGAACATTTGTGCAAGTTTGTAAAAAATTTATATCATATAATCCATTAGAAGTTATTGGTGTTCATTGTACACATGGTTTCAATAGAACTGGCTTCCTTATAATTAGTTATTTAGTAGAAACTGATGGTACTAGTGTTGATGCTGGTTTGGCAGAATTTGCTAATGTAAGACCACCAGGCATATATAAAGGTGATTATATTCAAGAATTATTTAGGCGATATGATGATATTGAGGATGCTCCTGATCCTCCACCAAGACCAGCTTGGTGCTTAGAATATGATGATTCTAATGTAGAAGACAGAGATGAAGGTCCAAGTACAGATAATGATAATTATAATCAAGATATATTCAATAAAAGAAGAAGACGTGAATTTAATAATAAGAATCCAGTATTTATGGCTGGTATACCTGGAGTGAAACCTATTTTAGATAATAGGAAATTAAGTGGAATACAAAGACGTGTTCAAGATATCTGTTCTTGGAAATCAACAGGATTTCCAGGTTCTCAGCCAGTTTCTATGGATGAAGATAATATTAGATTGTTGCATGAAAAACCTTATAGAGTGTCATGGAAAGCAGATGGGACCAGGTAAGATGGCGATATATTTCAAACATTGAAGATTTTGAAATATTAAAATATCGATTGTATTAAATTGATGATTATTATTATTGTATATAGGTATATGATGTTAATTCAAGCGGATGGAGAAATTTATTTTATAGATAGAGATAATAGTATATTTCAAGTTAATGGAATGACTTTTCCACATCCAAGAGATATATCTAGAACTCTTAAAGATACATTGTTAGATGGTGTAAGTAATTTTTTATAGAATTAACAAAAATTTGAAATTATTAAATCAGTTATTAATAGAAATATTTTTATAGGAAATGGTGATTGACAAAGCAGATGGTAAAGAATATCCAAGATATTTAGTTTATGATGTAGTGATGTATGATAGCAGAGATGTTAGTAAATTGCGATTTCATCCTGACCGTTTTTGTATCATTGAGCGTGAAATTATAGGTGGCAGACATAGAGCAATGAAAGAAGGAAAATTAAGAAAAGAAATGGAACCCTTTTCAGTACGATTAAAATCCTTTTGGGATGTAATACAGGCTGCTAGTTTATTAAGTGAAAAATTTGCCAAACAATTAGGTCATGAACCTGATGGCTTAATATTTCAACCTGCTAATGAACCCTATTGTCCAGGACTTTCACGAGAAGTTTTAAAATGGAAACCTTTATCCCATAATTCTGTTGATTTTAGATTAAAAATAGTAACAGAATCTGGGGAAGGAATTCTTCCACAGAAAGTTGGACAACTCTATGTAGGTGGTATAAAAGAACCATTTGACAGAATGAAAGTCACTAAACAGATAAAAGATTTAAATAATGCAATTATAGAATGTAAATTTGAAAATGGCAAATGGGTGTTTATGCGTGAAAGAACTGATAAATCATTTCCTAATTCATTCAGTACAGCTCAATCAGTATGTAAAAGTATTATAAAACCTATAACAACTGAACGACTTTTAGATTATATAAATAGGCATCGATTTTTACAAGATGATTCTGATCTTATGCCACCACCGAATAAAAAGCGTAAATGATTACATTTAGTTTTAATGATACTACAATGTATTTAAAAATTAAAAAATAGATTTATTGTAAAATTTTAATGAATTTATAAACATGAAAATTATTCAAGCTTTACATTAATTATATCTAGCTTATTATATTCCATCAAACTTGTTTCAATTGCTGTAAAACTTTAATAATCTTAAATTGTTCATTCAATAAAGAAACTTTGTAATAAATCATGTGTTTTTTTTTGTAAGTTATACAAGATATTTATTATATAATGTCTTCCTTGGATTAGAATTATTTTTATTGAAATAAACAAATTTTAAGATTATAAATTTTAATTTTTCAGATAGGACTGTTCTCTTATGGTATACAAAAGAATTGACAATAAAAGAAAAAAGATCGCTTCGTGTTAATGTTGAATTTGATCATGCCACATTAGTACGTTGGTCTCCTGACGGTAAAGCTTTTCTTATACATAAGGCTGTAGCAAATACTATTGAAGTTTATAAAATTTCCAAAAAATCAGATGGTACTTTAGCTTCTGCAGCTAAAGCTCTAGAATTTTCAAAGGTATATATTAAAATTTTATTTCTTGTATTCTTTTTTTTTTTTTTTAATACAAACTTTATGTTTTTTATTATTCATTTTTAGCGACATACTGAAGATGTAGTTGGCATGGATATTGCATGTACAGGAAAATATATTATTACATGCAGTAAATTAAATGATCTTATAGTATGGGATCTTAAAGGACAGATTCTTACAACTATAGAATTACATCTTGGATCAACATATAGAGCTCGAATATCACCTTGTGGACGTTTCATTGGCACATCTGGTAATATTTTATAATTTATTAATTTATATTTTATTTTATTTTATATTTTATAATTTATCAATGTCTTAATAATAATTTTATTATCTAGGATTTACTCCCGACGTGAATATATGGGAAGTAGTATTTAGTAAATCAGGAGAATTTAAACAAGTAGCAAAGGCATTTGATCTTGCTGGTCATTCATCTGGAATACTTGATTTTACATTTAGTGCTGATAGTAGTAGTATGGCAACTGTATCAAAAGATGGAACTTATCGTTTATATGATACAAAAAGTAATAAATTATATAATGATATTTTTGCCATATATTTTCTGTCTTGAATTGTTATATTCAAATTGATTATTATATTATGTTTATAGTTGAATTTGAAAAAGGAGAAGATCCTCATGTACTTCAAACTGTACAATGGGAAAATACAACAATAGCTAATATTATGCTCTCTCCTAACACTGAAGTTTTGGTGATATCTCATGGATCTTCATTAAGTTTTTACTCTACAATTACTGGTTTGTTAGATACTACAATAGAAGATATTTTTTTAGGTATTTTTTTATTCAATTTTATAAATAGTTTATATTTATTTAATCTATATTATATTTATTTTATTTATATTATGTATTACAGGACCTATTACATGCCTAGCTTTTGATACTGTAGGAGAATATATCTTGGTTGCTGGAGATAGACATATAAAGGTTTTTCGCAACGTTACTGGTTATCGAGTGGCAATTGAATCTGCCAGACGCAAACTTATGCAAAAGCAAACTTCGGCTACAAAAGAACGTTTAGAAAAACTCATTGAAGATAATAGAAAATTTCTTCAAATAATGGGAGAAAAGTGTCCTTAATGAAATAATTGTAAAGTTTTTTTGAAGGCCAATAATTTTAAAATTGCATTTAAAAAAGATTGTTTGTAACATAATTTTTTAATGTATTTGAATAAAAAGATTCATACGTGCGAATTCATTTGTTTATAATAAATTGAAAATATTTGATAAATTTAAATTCATTGTTTTTATGATATAAATCATATTATCAGAATTTACAGATTTAAAAAATGTCGGCTGAGATAAATATGTGAATTTTTTTGACCTTGAATATGTACATATTTATTTTTGACATCATTTTATTTACTCTGTAGTCAATTGTGCAACACGAACCGCTATGCTTGCAATAATAGAGGTTTGCTATTAATATATTATCTTTCTAATATGTTTTTATAAATTACATATAGATATACATTGCAGCAACCAATTTCCCTAATTGAATGGAATTTAATAAATGATTTAAATGGTTTACCAGAAAATAAAGATATTAGTATGTATATATCTCATATAGATTTTATACTTTTAAATATCAAATAAAATTCTAAAGATATTAATATTGTTTTCAATTATAGATTTTCTTTTGGAAAGACTACAACATGGTCAAATTTATACATGGGTTGATTTATTACTTTTGACATTAAATCCTAACAATGAAGCATTAATATTTCATTTGTATCATTCTTCTAAATTTGATAAACAAATTGCTACTTATGAAACAAGTCCTCACATATTTACTATTGCTGCTAAGGCACATTACAATCTTACTAAGAAATTTGGACAAAATTCTCAGGTAGAACATTTAATGAAAAATAATAAATAATAATAAATTAATTTCTTTTGTAAATTTATTAGTGCATTATGAATTCAGGTAATTATTATAAATGGAGAAACTGGAACAGGAAAAACATTTAATGTTTACAAATGTTTAGAATTTTTTAGTAACATTAATAAAGCTTCAGTACAACTTTCTGAAGAAAATTATATGAATAATATAATGTTAAGAATTACAGACGCGTGTCATTTGATATCTGTTTTTACAACAGCATGCACTGAAAAAAATGAAATAAGCTCAAGACATGGAGAACTTATTAAACTTTATTATAAAAATAATATTATTTCTGGTGCAACTATTAACTCATTTCTTTTGGAGAGAAGTAAGGTAACAAGAAGTTCAGACGATTTTCAAATTTTTTATCAGGTTTAATTTATCATTTTCATTTATTCCTATATAGTAAAAAGTTAAAATATATTTATAATAATATTGAATAATATATTTCAGATGATATTTGGAATATCAGAGACAGAACTTGAAGATTTTTATTTATCTAAAGATAAAGATTATGATATATTAAGTTCTATAGATTATGAAAAAAAAAAATATTTTCAAAATGGTTTTCAAGATACTCTAAATGCATTGGATATGTTGGATTTTAAACCTGATCAAAAAAAACATATCTTTCAAGTTCTTGCTTTATTGATTCATATGGGAAATATTAAATTTATAAAAAATAGTAAAATATGTATAATTGATTTTAATAATAATAGTATGTTGTGCTAATTTTTTTAAATATATAAATAATACAAAAATAAGAAATTTTATATAATCTTTTTTGTAGAATCCAAAGAAGCTTTAAAAAATAGTTGTATTCTTGGTTCTTTAACTGAAGATACCATGATAAAATTGCTTATAACCATTCTTATAAATCCGCAAAGTATTTGGCGAAAATACATCTCATATCATCAATATCTTGTTACTGTTGATGCATGTCGTAATAGATTACATAGTATAATTAGATATATATATGATCTTCTTTTTCACTGGATTTTAAATCATGCAAACAATATTTTGTCTCTAAAACAACAATATTCTCAATGGCTTGGTATGTTAGAAATTTGGTATTAAAAATTCATCAAATTATATATGTATTCTCTTTAGGTATACTGGATATCTTTAGTTTTGAATCTTTCAATAAAAATGGCATGGAACAGCTTTATGTAAATTATGTTAATGAAAAAATTCAACAATATTTCATAGAATCTTATGTGAAAAATAATCATAATAATTTACAAGAAGAAAATTTTATTGAAATTTGCAATCCTTTGCATACTATTAATTTATATAAAGAACGTTTAAACGTTATTGAAGAAAATTTATTTTTAATTTTAAATGATGTATGTAAAAAATTTTTTATTCAATTATACATGAAATTTATTATTACAATAATATTTATTATAACAATTTTCACTTACAGGCTTGTCAATCGTTCGTAGTAATTGATATATTAAAGATAATTCAGTTGGTATATAAAAATTTACATAATATACAAAAAAAATTTTTAAGTGAAAAAGAAGGAAATTTCATTATAGAACATTATTCTGGTCCTGTTGCATATTTTATAGAAAATATATTATCTAAAAACATAGATAAGGTATTAAATATATTTTGCAATTTGGAATTGTTAATAATTATAATTTTTTAAAATTTTATTATAGGTTCCGAGTGAAATATTTTTAATTTTTAGTACAAGTAAAAATAAATTTTTTCAATCTTTAATTAATATTGAAGAAAAGCAATATTTATATATTGTAAAATCTACTATTAAAAAAAAAACAATGTTAGCTAAGTTAAAATATAATATGGATATACTTATTAAAAAACTTAACAAATGTGATTTACATTATGTACGATGTGTTAAACCAAAGTAATATATATTTTTGCATAAACTTTTTTTATTATTTTTTTATATTTAATAATTATTTTTTTCAGTCGATTGATAAATCAGAAATGGGATCGAAAAGATTTTCAAAAACAATTGGTATGTAGTAGTATTTTTGATGTTCTGTCCTTAGCTAAATGCAAGTATCCTATTCATTTCTCTTATCGAGATTTTTATTTTCATTATTCTAAAAAATCTACAGGTAAGTAATACAAATATTTTGTTTATTTATATATATATCTATTATTAATATATCTATTATTAATATATACTATATCATATTTATTAAAAATGAAAATATTTCTTAACCAGAAACAATTAATTTTGATAAATGTAAACTGATTGTGGAATCAGTTATATCTAAAAAAGATTTACAAACACAGATTTATTTTGGAAAACAATTGATATTTTTAACACAGCATATTTTTCTTATATTAGAATCCTATAAAAGAAATTATTGTATAAAGTGTGTTAATAAAATACAAGAATTTTGGATGAGACATAGTAAGCATATTTTATTTTTATTTATATATATATATATATATATATATATATATATTTTTTTTATATTAATATAATCTTATATTTTTTTATAAATATTTTTTTTTACAGAATGTAAAATAACATTACCTATTTTAAAATATTTAACAAATAATTATCAAGTACAAAATGTTTCTGAAATGAATAAAAATATAATATCTATTAAAATTATAGTTGATCATGAATTGAAAAAATTAAATACTTCTGAAAAAAATAACATATTTTTCACTAATTCAATTTTTTTTAAAAATAATGATAAAACAAGCTATTCAAACTTTGTAATAAAAAATACAAAAGATAATAAAAATATTAATATATATAAAAATTTGAAAATTCATTCACAGAAAGAAAATAAGAATGATTCAATAAAAATATTAAATACTTTGGAAAAAGTATATGTTCTTAAAAATTCGGAAACAAACTTAAAGAATTTTAATTATCAATTCAATCCAATATACATTAAAAATTTCATTAAAAATGATACTTCAAAATTTATGAGAAAAATCAATATTAATAATTTTTTAAAAGTTAAATATAGCAAAAATATTTATAAGTATAGTAATATAATAAACACTTGTAATAATAACAACAATAATTTATTGAAACAATATTTAGGATTACATGTTACTTCAATTCATATAGATTCTACAAAAAAAAATTATGAAAAAAAAAGTTCTATATATCATAAAACAGTCAGTATTTTTATTTGATATTTGAATGAATTTTAAATATTCATATCATATCATATATAAATTCTAAAAGTTTATTTTTTTTAGGATAATACTAATCTCATTCAAATGGATTCTTATCCGCTTTTTTATAAAAATGGAATTTTAAGTCGACGACGACTTACTGCAGTATGTGTTTTAAAATCATAATAGTATTAAAAAATAATACTAATGCTAAAAATAATTATTTCAGATACCAATAAAAATGCATATTCGAACTACATGTTTGATTAATTCACATATATTACCACGTAATAAATTACCACAAGGATTACAAGATTGTCTTTGATAAAAAGAATTAATATTTTAAAGTCAGTCATTATTTCAGTCTTTTACTTATTATTAGTTAAATAAATAAATTAATTAATTTATCTTATTATATTTTTTAGCAATATACAGAAGATATTGTACATATGTTCATATATAGAAATATATCTATTATTATAAATAGTTATAAATATTAAATTTTATATGAATGCATTGTAATATAAATAAAAAATGATACTTCACGTTTTCTCGTTTTAACGAGAAAATATTAAAATATGTTTATATGTATGAATTTTGAAGTATAAAATGAAATCCTTTTTAAAAAAATTTTGTTTGTTATGTAAAAAAAAATCCAAATGTGAATCTAAAATTGTTATTTAAATTATATACATCTATGTTTAAATTTATAAATAACCATACAATAAATTATAAGTATTAAAAGGCCTTTTTTTTTTATCTTTAAGTACTAATAATCTTCGTGAAGCTACAAGAGCAAGTGTTGCTTGTAATTCGCTTCTTAAAATTTGATAATTTGCTCTTAAACTAACACGTCTTAAATTACTTGGAGGTACCGGTCGTCCACCAGCGAATGCAAATCTAAAATTGTATTACAAAAAAAAAAAAAATACATAAAACAATTTCATTTATAATTTAAATGATATATATGGTTTCATACCTTATTTCTCGACGTGGACCTCGCAATGTAGAATCAGGAAATGCTGTTTGTCGATCCCATAATAGCCGATTACTTATTACTGGCCTAACATTAACATATTTTACCTTACTTTTAATAGTAATAGGAAGAGGAGCAGGCTTTTTATTTTCATTTATTGTACTCTTATATTGAAATGGTAAATATGGTAATAAAGAATCTCCATAATGTTCCATGAAAACTTCAATGTTTATAATGTGAGCTTGTGATTTTAAAAGGGCACAAATAGTAAGCTATAATTAAAATTATTTACATTATTATTGAAGAAAAGTAATATAAAAAAAATATATTTTAAAATTAGCTTACAGCTATTTTTTGCCATAAAATAGAACTAGGTAAGGCATATTTTAAAACAGAATGCACTGAAAGTGGAGATTGTAACTCTTGTTGAAAAAGTATTAAAGGTTGAATGCTAGCCAGTAGTTCCATAGCTAATATTTTTTTCTTACTACCATCTATATTCTCTTTATCTTCTTTTAAAAGCACATTCTCCAGTGTGGGGATGTATCTTTTAACATCAAAGATCGATTTTAGAATTATTAATAAATGTTAATATATTAAATGTACAATATTTATTTACTTATCAGCAGTAGAAGGCCATCGAAGCATTAATTTTAATATGCATGTTTTTAAAAGTGCTTCAAGATTTGGATTTATAAAATTTTGCCCTAAAAGTAATTCCAATAGCAATTCAGTTAATTTATTGACCTATAATAAAAAAATATTAAAGATCTTAAAATACCTAATTTTTTCATAGATCATTTAGAAGAATTCATATGATCTTATTGCTGATATTACCGAAGTTAAATGATATGGATAAATAGCTTCACTATTGCTTGCAATTGCAATAATAAGTTGACATGTCCTCGTGGATACTCTTGTATATTGTACATTATTTGAAATTATTATAAATCTAGCAATAGACATTAATTTGTCTACTACACCTTCTCCACTCAAATGAGCATTAGTAGAACAATCATTAATTAAAACCTATTAATTATTTTTTTTATAATTTATGAAAAATATCATATAAATTAAATTTACTCTACCTGAAATGTTTTTTGAGATCCATTGAATAATGTTTTTAATGCACGTTTTGCATAATTATTTCGTGTTTCTGTAAGTCTTATATCACATATTTCAGATTCTATGAAAAATATCAAATATATCATTAATAAATTACAAATAATATTAATATGATCAAATTAATGTATATATAAAAAAACATTAAATAAAATATAAATAAGAATACCTTGAATAAAAGGTACATTGTTCTGTGATATACTAAATGGATCATTTACTTTTTGTACTAAATTAATAATTCGTTCATTAGGAACAAAAACTTTTGCTTCAGTATGATATTCTGGCATAGATTCTGGTGCACCTAATATTGGATCTACATCACATAAATTAGTAATTACAGCATTTACATCCATAGATGTTAAGCGTTTCCTTTTGCTATGTTTCAATCTTGTTACGCATTTCTAAAAATTAATTTTAATTAGTTTCATTATAATATTAAATATATAATTTTTAAAGGTAAATATAATAATAATTATACATATAGAACTTCTCTAAGTCGATATGAGGCATCTTCTGCAAGTCTTTTTAATAAAGAATCTGGCAAGGGATACATTCCAAGTTCTTCTCCAATTGAAGATATCCAATCTGTACTAAGAACAGCATATCTCCTTGTATTATCAGTTGTATTATTGGAATCTCCATTATTATTATTATTATTAACGAAAGAATTATTATATCCTGAACCAGTTTGATTTGTTAACATTTCTTTCATGATTTCGAATTAAAAAATATAAATTTTTCATTTACAATGATTTTAAAACAATATGGCTGACAAAATGAAAATTGTACCACATTATAATTTTTTTAATTCTAATTTAAAATATTTCAATATTATTAAATAAAAAGCATATCTTAATAAAAAATATCAATATGATTTATTAAATTTTTAAATATTAAAAACGAATTATTATAGTATCAATATCAATCTATATTTTCATAACTATAAAAATTAGAAATTATAATTTTATCCAAAAGATGACGCTATTAGTCACATAAAGTTTTCTTTTTTCCTTGTCTATTTTACGTAACAATTTATTGTCTATCATTGTCACGTGAAAGCTGACGTTTCGTAAAATTTCAAGGGGCACGTCGACCAATCGGAAGTGTCGACGAAATTTACGCACAGAAATATCACTGACGTGTCCACGGAAAGGAGACTGCTTCAAGAGTTTATGATTATTCTCAGTTTGTACAAGAACATTACTTGGAAAACAATAGTGCTTAGAGAATTATATTGATTCCGGTAATTTGTAAAGCAACGAAATTATGGCAGCAGTGTTAAATATGTTTGTGAACTCTTTCCATAAGAAATTGTAAGTATTTTTTTTGTCGAGTAATGATGGAAATTTATATGATGAAATGACATTTTTATCGATATTGTAGATATATTATTTTAATTTTATCATATGTCCTAATTTACCGGTATATTATTATTGTTTATATTTATATTCAGATTTATATACAATAATTCATGATGATGTAACTCGGAAGTTACTAAAAAAATTTTTCATTTGATAAAAATGATAAATCTTTCTTCCTATATATCTTTGAATAAAATTATTTATCGTGATATGCGTTTTCCTTTATCTGCGTTATTGATATATTATATGTCCTTCAAATACATAACGTAGATTCTAGAACTTCATTAATCTGAATATTTTATGTACTGAAACTTTTTATTCGAGAATTTAATATGCATGACGTGTTACAAATACATTAAATACGTTTAATACGTTTAAATAATTACGTTTTATAAAATTATATTTTCACAGTTTAATTATTTTCTTTTATATTTTGATTTCTCTTTTAAGTCTTATTTCTTTTTTTAATAACTTAATTATTATGTTGTTACTTTTATAAAACAGATATAGGGAAGAAAGGTATTGCTATTTGAAGAACTTATTCTTAATTTTTAGTTATCTTTAAAAAAAAATATTAGTAAAAAAAATTGAAAATTTTATATGTAGTATTTATATATATAGTATTTATTTATATAGAAAGAAAAGATAGCAAGAAAATATAAAATTTTTAATGCAATTTAATTTTACATTGATAAAATTATATATTATTTCTAATATATATTACATATTATTTATAATATATTTTTAATGGTTGCTTCACGATTTCACATTATTGTATTTACTTAGAACAGGAAAATCGAAGATAATTGTAAACTACACAATTATGCAATATTATCTTGATGGAATAAAACAAAAAATATTGATTTTAACATAAAAGTTCCATGAAAAGTACTTCATTAAAAAAAAATTAATGTTAATAATGAATAAATACTATGAAAGATATATAGATATTTATTTTACGTGTAAAATTTGAAAGAGATTGGTTAACTCTTATCGAAAAATCATGGCAACCAATTTGGGAAACATTATTCCGAGAAAAGCACATTAATGTTTTGCAACATGTTTTAATATATACATCGATATATTTGTATGAAATTTTTTATTAAAAGTCATAGATAACCGATTTGCTATTTTTACCGCGTCGTATAACTATCTGTCCATTTCTTATCTCTTACCTGAATAAATACAATCGTTTACTGATCAATGCGCATCCTCATTTCAGACATATTTGTAAAATAATCTTTCATTGAATATTATGTAAATTGCTATGAAATTAAAAATTTTTATAAAAAAATTTTGCATAATATACATTTTGATATAAAGATCAACAAATTTAAATTTTATCTTTATTTTCTATGTATATATCTATAATTAATATTTTTTCTATTTAAATTATTTAAATTTTTATATATTTAAAATTGTATATACATTCACATACATGCATTCTTACAAACTAAATTACTATGATATCGGTTATATATTTTTAAAATGTTTGTACTTTGAAAAATAGTAAGTACTTGTTTGTGCTTTATATAAATAGTTTGTACTTTAAAAATAAAAATTTTTTAACTTTTCCTAATGAGAATATCTTAAATATATGTAAGAAAATAATATTTATAATTTATAATTATAGGGAACCTCCTGTTAGACAACATTTGAAAAATGTCTATGGATGTCTGTCCATGTCAACATTATCAGCTGCTGCAGGAGTTTACATTCACATGTTCTCAGAGCTTTTACAAGCTAATTTCCTAACAACTCTTGGTACATTGGGTCTTCTCTTTGCCTTAGTCAGCACATCAGACAATGGAAAAAATCAAAAATTACGTCTTAGCTATCTTCTGGGATTTGCATTCTTCTCTGGACTTGGCCTGGGTCCATTACTTCAATTAGTTATGAATGTTAATCCAAGTATTATAGTAACTGCTTTGATAGGTAAATGATAACAATATAAATTTATTTTTTAAATGTGAAAGATAATAATAATAATAATGGAAGATTAAAATGTGATGTAAGTTACGAAATTCTCTTAATTTTTAGTAATATAATTATTTTTCTAGGAACAACTATTATATTTGTATCATTCAGTATTTCTTCTCTTTTGGCTGAAAGAGGACGTTGGTTGTATCTTGGTGGTACCTTAATTAGCTTGCTAAATATTATGGTTTTATTTTCATTCGTCAATCTCTTTTTACGTTGGTCTCTATTTTACCAAGCCCATTTATACATTGGTCTATTTTTGATGTGTGGTTTTGTTATTTATGATACACAATTAATCATTGAAAAATTCCATATTGGTAGCAAAGATTTCATCCTACACTCCTTAGATCTATTCGTAGATTTCATCGGTATTTTCCGCTACCTCGTCATAATTCTTACACAAAAGGTAAAAATTAATAATTATATAGAAATATTATTTTATATATTATGAAATATAATGAATATATTAAATTTATTAATATTTATAATGTTCATTACAGGAAATGTCGAAAGATCAACGTAAACGCAGAGATTAAATGAAAGTAAAAAAAGCTGTAAAATATCATACCATTCAAGTAAATCCATAAACTAGAGGTCTTCATCTTATCTATCCATATGTAAGCCGTATATGTACCATGATAAAATGAATTTAAACAATACAGCTTATTATTCGGAAAATTTTTAGGCATGCGTTAACTGTAAAAACGCAATGTATTTATTTCGAATTACTTAGTTATCATTTCTTTTTTCAATTATCTATTAGATTTATATACATGTATACATAAATAGATATAAATTTATTGTACTATATTTTTATCTTTCAATAAACAAAATTTCCCAGCGTTTCTGGTTTCTTTTCTATAAATTTAAGGATATTCTTAAATATAAAAAATTATTAAATGTAAAAAATTTGATGTTACAGGATTGAAGTCTTATTTATTAAAATGTAACTTTACACATATGATTATCATTTACATGTGCATATAAAACAAAAATTACATGTTACGCATCGATTTTCGTGAATATAAAAAATTATGAGAAAACAAATCGATGATAGTGAGTTTAACACATGGTCATGAAAAATTTACATACGTTGAAATTGTGTACAAACTGTGTACAATACATCAATAAGTGATTTAATCACTTTTTAAATTGTGCCTAATACGGCCGCTGACGATCCCTGTCTCTATCTCCTCGGCTGAAATAAAAGAAAAAAAAAAAAATAATGATTACTTATTATTTACATATTTAATTTAAATAATGTTATTATATATATGAAACCAACCCTCCACCACCTCTCATCGGACCACCTCGACCACCTCTTCCTCCCCTATCTCCACCACGGAAACCTCCTCGACCACCTCTATCACCACCCCGTCCACCTCTATCACTTCTGAAACCTCCTCGGCCACCCCGATCGCCACCACGATTGCCTCTTCCACTACCACTGCCACCAGCACCTTCTGGTTTTAGACTTTTACAAAGATTACATTGATCCCTCCAAGCAAAATTTGTATTACCACATTCTGGATTGGGACATCTATTTATTTACATAAAACAGTTTTTCATAAAATATTTCATTTTTAATATAAATATAATATAGTAAGTATAAATGTAAGATTATTATATAGATAAAATCAAAATTATACCTCCAATCTCCTCCTCGACCACCTCCATCGCGACGATCGTCACCACCACCACGATGATGATCATCTCTGTCACCGCCACCTCCACGGCTTCCAAAACCACCACTTCCACGACCTCGGCCACCACCACCACGACTTCCACCACTTCGATTACCCTGCCAATTGCTTTTGTGTTGGGCAATTTGTACTCTTATTTTCTTGCCTTTAAATTCTTTCCCATCAAACCAATCTATTGCAGAACGTGCAGCATTTTGATCATCATAAGTTACAGTTGCTTCGCCCTTTGATTTACCAGTGTTTTTATCTTTATACATCCATACTTTAGGTTTTCCTGTTCGCTTATCATGCTATATATATATTCAAAAACATACAATGTTTAAATAATAAATTTTATTTATATATCTTTTATAATATATAAATAATAAAATAACTTACTTTGATTATACCTATAGCTCCAAAATGTTGACAAATTTCTTCTTCTGAAATTGAAGGATCCATACCAGATACAAAAATAGTATCTTCTTGTGTAACCATTCCATCGTTGCCACCACCACGGTCACCATAGCCCCCTGTAATAGGATAGGAATTAATATTTTGTTTAACATGGTACTCCTTGAGGTAAGGAATAATACTTGCAAATCTACTGTCCCTAAACCTACTCAAATCTAAACTAACAAGTGGAAAACTTTTGTATCGGGTTAAAAACAACTAATAACACAGTACACCTTGGAGGAATAAAATTTTGCAAACCATTTGGAATTTTAATATATTGCGGTTCTTTGAGTTATAAGAAAATCCCATATGAACACCTTTCCCAATATATCCGCAATTCATATTCAAGATAATTTTAAAATAGATAGAGATAGACATAAGCATTATTGTTTGAAGCAATTAAATACTATGTTTCTCTTTCTTCTTGAAGTATACCAATATATTTAAAAGTTATTACTTATTCTAATAAAAATGTAATAACTTTTATTTTCTTTAATAACCATTATCCACAAATAATGCCTTTTTAATGAAAAAAAATATTTTTTTATACCAGAAATTTTGTAATTATATATGTTTAAAAACATACACTTATTTTGATACTAGTTTTAGTTTTCTGAATATATTCATCAATTTTATCTTGCCTATAAATGATAAACCTTTCTTGATATTTGAGCTTTCTTAATTGACTAATTTTTTTTAATTATCACATCTATTATTGTACATATATTCAAAATACCTTGCATAAAATTATAATTCAAAGATATCTCTTTGACCCGCATAGTAACAAAAGTATTAGTATTCATTGGCCTAACATTCTTAGTAGTATATAACAATATGAAGAGAACACAAGGTTGCAGCTTAACATACAAAAGGGCTGCAACATTATTTTTATTCTTACCATTTCTCTATATTGTACATTTGGGAAAGCCTTGACTGATTAGGGATAGGTAAATACTTAATTCACCAGCTGCCTTTTATATATACTTAAAATTATATCCTGTGATATATTTTAAAATATTAACACAATGAAGTATGAGCAGCACAAATGCTGATTAAAAATAAAAAATATCTTACATTTTTTAAAACTTTTTTTTTGAAACAATTTGTTTTATGTCTCTATATGTGAAAAAATAAAATTTAATTTTTTTAATTTAAAATATATCTTTATTCTAAATAAAATTTTTTATTTAATGTAATATAATTTATATAACTTTCTGATAAAAAATTTAATACTATTAAAAACATATAAAAAATTCACTCTTATTTATTGAAAAAAAGCAAGTGGTGATTAAAACAACCTTTATGATGCTACAATAACATCATCATGTATTTACACCTTTTTTTAGAATTATTATTAAATTCTGGCAAAATATTAGTTGCCAGAAAAAAAATAAATCCCCCTAACAATGTTGCATAGCAGCCCTTTCATATAATACGAGTAACCGAGTATTTAGATTTTAAATATTAGAGTGAAAGCTTGAATAGCACCAGACTAGTACAGACAGTCTGGTGCATTTACCTTTGTTATAACCACCACGGCCACCGCCACTGCTAAAACACAGAAGCAGATATACCAATGAGTTGACTCATGGACAGACTGATCGATCGATCGATGCATGGCGAATCAAATGCTGCTCGCCACCTCTCTTCTTGATGTACCTACTGTCTAAATGTCTGTGGTCACTATATTACTTAATACTAAAGGTAAGTCACGTATATCGTCATGTTAGTCTGTTACGTCCAGCATGCAAAAATTATGCGCTTTCTCTGCATAGCTATTATTGATAACTTTGCGAGAAATAAATTGGTCAAGACAATCCTGTATAAAAGATAATCCTGTATAAAAGATTATCCTATTCACGTCGAATGTACACGAATCTTCTATCTGAGAACTTATTGACAAGAAATCACTATTAATTAATATTTCAAGCATATATATATATATATACATATATATAATAAAACCAGTAGAGTAAAAATTGGAATAAAAAATTATCAATCATATTCGATGAATTATGATGTTAGTATAACACTAATATCCTATTGCGAAAATAGACAAAATGTATTAAAGAAACATCAATATATTTAATGAAACTTCAACTTGTATAATAATACTATGTCTTAATAACATTATATACTTATAAAAAACTTTAAACGTCTTTTAATTGTCTAGTCGATTTCAATAACCCTAAATAGTACTATTCAGACAACAGTGGCCCCAGTGGCAGTATAAACCGCTTTACAGGTATAATTAATACAAAACCATTATATATAACACATCATATTACCACTTATTGTAATAGTATAGAATCAATATTACCAGACATTATAACCATTTTACGTCATTTGTCACATACAACCTGTTTTTACCTTTACCAGTTATATCTGTGTTAAACCTGTAGGCACACTTCAAACATATTAACGCCCAATGGGCATAAAACCATTTGCAAAGAGACAACAAGTTTTCATTACTCATAAGAATTGCATTTCATACCTTTATTACTTCAATGAATATATTTACCTCTTCACTGATTAATATTGTTGATATATGATTAAAATTCTTATTGACCTTATAAGTTCTTTTCGCTTTATTATATTTTTATATATAAATAATACGAAAAATAAACTTACTTGTAACTACCGCCAGAGCGGTCATTGTATCCCCCACGATCTCCATATCTACTGCTACCACCTCCTCCTTGACCTAAATATATATATATTATTTATATAATAATATATAATAATAATATGCTTTAAGGATTTACTTAAAATTTTAAAATATTTTACAATACCTCCACCATAACCTCCACCAGAATTATTACGATAGCCACTTCCTCCACCTCCATGCCCATAATTTCCACCATAATTGCTACTGCCACTATTTCCAGAACCGCCTCCACTGCCATAACTATTTTGGTTGTAACTATTTTGACCTTGTGATTGATTGTAGTCTGGACCACCGCTGGAATTGTAACTGTTGTAACTGCCATAATTGCTGCCACTATTTGGTGGTGGTTGACTATATTGATTGTAGCCACCACCACCACCGCTAGAAGGTGGTGGATACGAAGTATCCTGACCACCAGAAGGTGGTGGCTGACTGTACTGATTGTACCCCTGTTGTTGATAATTTGAGTATTCTAAAACATATATAAAAAATATGAAATATTATATAGAATTTAATATAAAATTCTAATTATTTCATAAAAAAAAAATATAAATAATATTATATTATTACATTGAAATATTACAAAAATTCAATAATGATATAAAATTCATTAAATGTAAAAATATTAAATTATACAAAATGGAGTAAAAAAGGAGGACGAGACGCTTGGGATGCCGATCAATAAGTTTATGCAAAGATGTACGAAAGTAAAGAACGTCACGATTTTTATTTTAAATCAGTTTTTTATATGATTAAATTTTTATATTTAAATTTGGTAACAATTTAATAGTATATTATAAATTAAGTAAAATGGTTGAAAAAAGTATTAAACGTGGCAATATAATGAATTATAGCATAAGTTAGAAGAAGTTTTGAAATTGAAAAATACTTCTTTAGATTGATAAAAATCACTTTAATATCATTATAAAGTGAATCATAGTTTTTAATGCAAAAATTTAAAGTTTTTTTTATACTTACGAGTGTCCGTCATCGTGCCCTCCTCCGGTAATCAAGTTACTACACGGCAGAAAAAGCACGTAATGGCGGGAACGAAGCGACTTTCCAACGAATATGAACAGTCAGAGTTCAGAAGTATTCCACTACCGGATATTGGCTATGCAAGACGGAAATCTTCTATGATAGATGGCGGCACTAATTAATTAAATTTTAAACTATCATTTGACTATAGTAGTGATATTTGTGTATTCAAATTTTAACAAGATGCATAATTCTTAAAAAATTTTATTAATATACTTATTAACTAATAATTAATAATAAGTTATTCTTAATTAATAATTTTTAATTGCCAAAGTGGCATGATTAAAATTATTTCAAATCAATTTTATAATTAACTTATTTTTTTTTTAAAATTATGTAAGGAAGAAAAGGTAAATTAGAAATTATTTTATTTCATGATTTTTTTATTAATTTTGTATCATAATTCTACATATATTTAATTCAATGCATGATTTAGTTTTGTTTAAGAATAATTTTCATTGCATTTTAAAAATCATCATAAAAAACATTTTAGATACATTTCGTTTTTTTACTTCTATTTTTTGTTACATAATATTTACATCACAGTAATATGCTGCATTTATACTACTGATTTCTTATATTCTATTAATTTATTAATGAACTAAATTAATTTATATTTATGAAATTATGAAACATTTTTATAAAATCACTTAAAATTAGATTCAAAAATTATAATTAATTATTTCAAAGAATAATCTTGAAGAATAGTATATATATATATACTTCATATCTACTATATCTGTAAATATATTTCTACATCATTGATTCTATAGTACATGGCAATAACATATTGTTTTATAAGAAAAAAATTTTCAAACATGATATAAAACAAAGATGAACATTTTGTTATAAAAAATTGGGTATCAATTTTCAAAAAGCATGAATAATAAAAATAAGTAATTAACATAATATAATTTTAAATTTGATCAAAATTAGTTTAAGTTCTATTCCACAATAATCATCTGTACATGTATGTATTTTTAACAAAAAAAAATAAATTTATTTATTCCTACAGAAATTTTGATGTTAAGTCAAAAGTTAGATATAAATAGAAAAGATGAAATTGAAGATCACGAATTGGAATGCTGAGATGGTGTTAAACCACCACTATGTTCGGGACTATGTTTTTGTTTTTTTCTTTTCTTCTCTTTTTTACGTTTTTTCCTAGCTTCTTTTTCTTCATCATGTCTTTTTTGTTTTTTATGCTTTTTCTCATGTGTATCTGAACCACCAATGTCTGTTGTTGTTGCTTCTTGACCACTAGGCACTTCTCCTGGTTTGTGTTTATGCTTTTTATGTTTATTTTTGTGTTTTCTTTGTGGAGCTTGATTAACATAACGATATTGTTCTGGTAGCTATAAAAATATAGGGACTTTTAATTTTTATCAAATTTTTTTTTAATTAATAAATCTTTTTTGTTAGAATTGTTAGAATTTTTACTCACAGGTCCAGGATGTAGACGAAAACCAGCTAATTGAACACTGGTTAATGGTATTAAATCTTTTCCTCCTATTGGTGGTTTCTCAATCACAGATCTTAGTGAACTAAAATAGAAAGTTGTAATAAGTTTAAATAAATACAAGATATTTTAAATGCAATAATAAATATGATAGACAGAAAGTATATATTAATGCACCTATTATCTAAATGACCTGGTCTGTCTATAATTCCAGGTAGATTTGGTAAAAATGATGAAAGCTGTTCTTTTAATTTTTTTCCACTAAATTTGCTATAAGAATGTTGTAGTCCATAAAAGTTCATCAAGTTTGTTGCCCCTGTGAGTTCACTTTCTCCTAAAAAATTTTAATAAAAGTTATATATTTGTTTTATGATTATTTTTTATGATTATTATGATATTATATAATTATTTGTAACATATAAATAATTTATTGATAGATAATATACCTGGGGGTTCCTTCATCAAGTAAAATGGTCCACTATGGACAATGGAAGGATTTTTGCCCAGGGAAATGGTTGTTTTAAGAGTTCCTGTTGAATCTTGACGTGAAACAACAGGAGAACGTGCACCCCTGGGTGATGATTTTGGTGAGTATTGTTCCACTTTGCTACGAAACTGATCACCCATCATCATCCTTTAATTTTACTTCATGGTACCTTCACTATAATTAATAGACTCTAATAAAAAACATAATAATTAAATTTTGTTTTGATTAATCAATATATATTCATATTGATATACTATAATATAATATTATAATACAATTTAATATTATAATAAAATCTACAATAAACATATAACTTTTATATTATTATGCATAAATATACGACATAGCAATAATAAGGATAACAATAAATTGTGCTAAATGTTTAAAATTCTCTAATTTTTTTTAACTCAATTTTATAAAATATATGTAATAAAATTACATATTTAAATTATCATAGCAATCTATTTTTTTAAATAAGGTTTCCATAAATTAAGTGACAGTTTTATCAGCATCTTGTTTCATTATTTATTTGATTTCTTATATAGGTTACAGTTCGTATGAAAGGAAATAATTATCACTAATGAAATTTCATTAACTAAAAGTTAATCAAAATTTTACGTTGTATAATAATTAATTATATACATACTGATGCAAATATTATATATAAATTCATGTGTGTTAATTTGTCTAAATTCATAATTTCTTCATATATTTCCACTAAGTTATATATTGTTTCTCCTTTCTTCATCTCTTATCGAAGAACTGCTCTACTTAAAAATTTTTTATGCATTATTTTTTCATATTCACGCGTCGTATAATATATATAAAGATTCACAATTTGTACTTACTTGTATATCTAGTTGTTTCTAAATTAAACCATGAACTACATATAATAAGATACGAAACTAAAGCAAGCAAAATGCATAAATGTTTCACAATTGGAAAGTTTGAAAAAATTAAAGTATGATATAATTAAAATTTAATAATTATAAATTATATTTTATTTATTTTTATTGTCATTTATTTATATTTTTTTATAAAAAAAAATATTTTCTTATTTATATATCAATATTTAATTTTATATTCATAACAATGCGAATGTAAACATTAAAGCAATGTAAAATATTTATTTTAAAAAGTGCATATTTTCAATTCATTTTTTATTAATATATTGTTTTTCCTTTTATTATAAAAATATTATTAAAAAAAAAAGTTAGAAAAGTTAATATAATATATTTATTTCATATTTTAATCACTTAAATTTATTTAAATTAAATAATACATATAAATGAATTATATTATAATTAATTATGTTTATATCATAAATAAATTTAATCATTCATAAAATTAATTATACTCGAAATCCTAGGTATTTTTTATTCTTTTGAAAATGAATTTTCTATTAATCGTGCAATTTTAAAATTACGACATTTTAAAGCTACATCTATTGGCGTATGACCAGCACTATTTTTTCGTTTTAAATCTGCTCCTTTTTCAATAAGATAACTATATAATGCGAAAAAAACAAAAAAACTTTAAATTTAATTTAAAAATATTATAAAAATATTTTTTTTAAATTTACTAACATAACCAATTTTATATTTCCTATCATGGCTGCTATGTGTAACGGTGTACGTAAACCAATACGATCTGCTGTATTTACATCTGCTCCATTTTGAAATAAAATATCAAGTATTTTCATATCTGATTCAAATCGTAAACATAAAATAGTTTCAAGAAGTAAATCTAATGAAATTTGATTTGGTGCTGATGAGATAGTAGCTCTGTGATAAAATTTTTTTCCATTAATTTTATATGAAAGTTTTTATATTAATTATTTTGTTTACCCATGAAATAGTAGTAATTTAATCATAGGAAGAAAAGGTCTTCGTATAACGCTGGTATATAAAGGACTTTCATAAAAAGTATCATAAACATTTACATGTGCGCCATTGGTTAGTAATAGAGTGGCACTATTAATATCTTTTTGAAGAGCAGCATAATGTAAAGGATATCTGTTTAAATTATCTACACAATTAACTGTGGCGCCATTTTCAAGTAGTTTTACTATCGCATTTTTTTGTCCAAGAAAAACAGCCTTATGAAGAGGTGTCAATCCTGTACAGAAGTAATTTTTTGTAATTTATTTTAAATTATGCTATTAAATGTATAAAGTTAATTTATATTTATTAAATATTAATAATATAATTTATATTCTGAATTTTAAAAGAAAAGAATCAAAGTAACTGTTTTGAAAATAATTCTTTAATAAAGATTCAAATTTTAAGTTTTCGTTTAATTTTAATTTAATTTTAATTTTAATAGATTTTTTCATCATAATTTTTTTTTTTTCAATATAATTATAATATAGTTTGACTAATTAAGTTATATAGTTTGACTAACCATCTATTGTTTTTATTTCAATATTAATAAGTGGCTGATTGCAAAGTAATTGAATAAGTACCACATTATCATATTGTACTGCAATATGTAAAGGAGTTAAATAATCAGATCTTCGACAATTAACATCTGCACCCTAAATAAAATTATTAATTTAACTTTAAAGTTACTAATTAAATTTTACTAAATGTAATCGATGATTAAGAATTTTTATACTTGAGAAAGTGCTTCTTTTGCCATAAATATATGTCCAAAAGTACATGCTAATAATAATTTCCAATTAACATCGGTTATTAATTCTGGCGAACTTGTAGGATCTAATATAGAGATACGAAATTGTTTACTCATTTATTATGATTTTTATTAAATGATATTCTAAAGAGTTTAAAGGTTACAAACGAAACATAAGATGTTTTATCCAATACATATTTATCATACGACTTGAAGTTTTTTATTATTTTGGTATCATTTTCAATATTATCGATTCAATATTAAATAATAAATATTATACATATCTTTGTATTTTCTTAATAATTCTATTAAAATCAAACAATCATATGGAAACAAATTTATTATTAGAATTATTATTAGAATAATAAACAATACTATATTTAGTATATTTTGTTATAAATTATAAATTTTTATTGATAATGTATAATAAAATTATATATAATGAAAAAAATTAAAAATTATATTTCAAATAAAAAAAAATAATATTAAATACAATATTAAATATAATAAAAAAATATCTGTGAAATCTAATTCGAAATATTAAAAAAATCAAACAATTAGATATATTTTAAATCTAATATTTTATTTCAAATATCAATTTTCAAAAAATGTTATCATATTATCATATTATTATTGTTATTGTTATCATGTTATGTTATTGTTATATCTGTTATCATATTAATTATTCATCAAATTAATTCATTAAATAATATAAAATAAACAAAATTCATTAGAAAATCTTAAATTTTGATTAAATATAAAGTATAGATATAAAATTATTTTTCATTTAAACATTTCACAAATAAAAGAAAAACAAATAGAAAATAAATAATATTTCAGGATAAGTATTTATAAGTAGAATATTATTTATTTATTTATTTATTTTTTTTTTATTTAGTTTTGTTACAATAATATATTATCGTTCAATTAAAAGCACCATGGATTTGAAAAATACAATGCCGAATGATAAAACTTTTTGATTTCAAAATACACACGTATATATAATGGACATTTACATGATGTATTTTACGATATAATAGGCATACAATATTTATTTTAAAATAATATATTTAATATATAGTTTTGTTTTATGCAATTATAATAATTCATGTAATTAATTAATTAATTAGCAATCAGTAGAGTATTATTGTATGATCTATAACATTGAATAAACTTTGATAGAATTTTGCGACTGTTTCCTAAATATATTATAATTTGATCGAATATCACATAATTTTTCTTCTTAAGTCATGATATTCAATAAATTTTTCATAAGCATGAAAATATGAATATCTTTTTCATCAAATATTAATATTACAGTTCAAGATGTTAGAATATATTTCCATAAAATTGATTACAACAAGGTTTGATAAAATTTTCTTAATTTTTCACCAAAATACTGTTTTTTTTTATCTTTTATGTTTTAGATTCGAATATTCATGAAAAATAGCTTAAATACAAGAAGAGTAATTATCACTTTGATATCGTATAGCAACAAGTGTCTATATATTAAATCTTTTTTTTTTTTTAGTCTTTGAAACATTTTGAAATGGTTCCGTATCCAGCATAAAAACAATATTTAACAACATTTGTCACTATTATTTTAAAAAAATACCTTCTGAAAATTAGATATTCCCGTTTGAAGATTAATTTATATTATACTATAGTAATAGTATATCATGTCTTTTTTCTTTTCCTTGGCAAGGTAGCAGCCGCGTTACAAAGTAAATAAATCTAATTTGGTTTCCGTTTTCTTTTTTTATTATGAAAAATCTTGCGATTATAGTTTTTTACAATTCAACAGAATTTTAAGATAATCGATTCGTTTCAACGAATAAAGCTATAATTGTAAAATATCTATAGAATATAATTTGGAAATATATCATTTAAACAATTATTCCTCAAAATGTTCAGCTTTTTGTGTAATACTTTGTTCGGTCATGAAACATTACAACGTATCAATGAAATCCAAACCCAACTGATTGACATTCCTTTAATCATATACAATAATTCATATTTTTCATTGTCTATAACATTAATTATGTATTAATAATAATAAGTAATAAATACTGAATCATTCTCTCTCTTTTGGTATTACTTAATCTACGTAATTCTAATTACACGCTAAACGATCGTCAAAAATATATAGCATCGAGTCACAAAAAATTTTTCTTTATGCCGATCGTAACTATTTCGATCGATCGATCAGTCGTCAGCTAAATTTTTCTTTTCCTACTGTTAAAATATCATACATTATATTATTATATACGCGTTTCAAGCATATACTGGTTAAACGACAAGGAACGAAAAGGAAAAATTACTCAGTCTCCTCGGAACGTTTGCTCTATGGAAGGCCGTGTTTGGTTCGATCGAGAAGAACATTAAATGTTACTCGGTTTGTATAGATACATTTACATACTCTTCGTCTTTCTCTCTTTTTTTTTTTTTACCTATCTGTCTTTTTTTCTTTTTTTTTTTTTTTTATCTTTCAATAAGACAGTGGTAAGACGATGGATTATCGGTATATAATGGTATTTCACACTTTACATTCGCAGCAATGAAAATGAAAAATTTCACGTCCTCGACGTCCTCGTTAACGATTATAATTATTTTCTCATTTTTTTCGAATTAACGAAATATTTTTAAATCGAATCATTTTGAGATTTTTTAATATGAGTGTAATTCAATATATATAATAATATGAAGTTATAATATGAACTTGCAATATAAGAAGAAATAAATTTATGATCGAGTCGTGAAATTTTTTATCTTCGGGTTTCATTTAATCGGCCATAGAGGCGAATGTCATCGAGATACACACGTTGACATTCAATATTTCATTGACGATAAACGTTACAATTATTATAGTTTGTACACAGCTAGAAAAATTAATTGACGTTAAAGTAATAAGGGCGGTTGAGGGGATGATATCGAATCGAATATAAAGTGTGAGAATCCAATTAGAAGATATGTTGTTGTAATTCTTAACACCGACTATATCATTGGATTTAAACTGGTATTTTCAGTACTCAATATACACTGTGCTTTGATATTATTGATTTTGTATATATGTACTTGTGTGTGTGTGTGTGTAATATTTCTCTCTTACCTTTTGCAAAGTAAATTAAGGGAGATGAAATATATAAATAGTTGTATGAACAAGCTTGATCGAACTTCGGTCACTTTGTCATCATCTTTTGTCAATGTATTATTACGTATATGTATATAACAATCCATATGCGAAACGAATGATAAAAGTTATAAAACTACATTTCTTCAGCCTCGTCTTTCGTTCTATATTTCCCTAGGAAATCGTCTACTCTATCTACTCTCATCGAATTAAATCATCATTCCTTTTTCTTTTTTTCCATTTCGATTATCATCTCATTTCATTATCACTTCCGCTACATCTATCTTCGAGCTAACTCATGAAAAAAGAACTCTATTCGTCATCTTTTCTTACTTTTTTTTTTCTTTTTTTCTTTTTTTCTTTTTTTTTTTTATTTAATCAGTCAGAGAAATCGTGAACTAAGCCTGAGGGTAATTTGATTCGAGTAACTACGATTTCAGTTTTCAACGATTTCAGTCGTCGCTTTCAAGACTCTGTTTCCTTTCTTGCGAGCGAGAAGGGCCTTGAGATTTTTCTTTCTTGCAAAAAATATATAAAAACATACTGAGAAACCATTGAAAATATTCGAATTTTGCAATAGTTTTCAAAGAAATTCGAAAAAAAAAATATGAATTTTTATTCCAAATGTTATATTATTGACCAAACGATAGAGACGTTTCAATCAAGAGGTCTATTGTCTTTTCAGCAGGTTCTTATAAATCTTGTGAATGAGTCTTTTTTTGAGCACCGTATTTCTTAAAGTAAAAGTAGTCTTTCTTGTTCACTCTCGAGCACGTATCGCTGGATTCACTAAAAAAACAAAAAACAAAATAGTAAAAAAAAAAGAGAACGTTAGAGAGGGAACGTTTGCCAAGAAAGCGCAAAATTTGTGTTCGGTTTCGTATACGTGAGTCCGAAAACGTCAGTTCGTTACCCTCTTTCTCGAGCTTTATTTATTAGGATCTTTCGCCTTTTTCGATATAATATGTTTTCGATCACTTGTTGTTCGTCGAGTTAATGTCGATTTAATAGACGAGTCGGTGTTGATAAGGGTATCCCCGCGATTGAGAACTTAATTGAAATTGAGCCGCGTTAGAGTAAGGATCGTACGCCTGTAAAACGAAAAATAAATATCAATACAATTCTAAATATGAATTTTAATCTTCTTTTTAAATTTTTCTTTAAAAAGACGAACCGATATCAATTAATTTTTTTTCAAAATGTTACCTGCGAGCGTTTCCTGGAGATCATAAACCTCTTCTCGGGAGCACTATAATAAGTCTGTTGAGGATAAACCAAACCGTATTGAGGGCTGCCGTATTGAGATGTATCGTATTGCTGCCCGTACTGATTTTCATATTGTTCATAATAACTGGATGGATGGGTACGAATGATCCCGATGTCCGATGGTGACAAAGAATCTAGGCTGTAGTGACGAGGAGGATACACCGAGGAATCCATCCACGGAATAACTTTGTAATATTAAAAGTCGTAACATTAATTTATCAAGATATAAATCGATATGCAAGATATGAAGATATATATATTTTTTTTGGACTTACTGTTTCGAGAATCCTCTTCCTCGAGAAGATTGTCTTCGTCATCTACATTTTCGTATTCCTCGTTCATATATTTATGCCAGTTTCTGCGAAGATATTTTTAAAGATAGATCTAAGATTTTTTAAATTTATTTTTTAAAAAACTTTTTTCAGTTACTGAGCACGTATCAGAGATGTCAATGGTATTAATTGTCCTTACCGTTTGCGACGTTCGTTTTCCCACAAGGAGAGAAGAGTTAAAACGTCTTCCGGATCGATATCCAATTCCCTCTTGAATCGTGGTTCTTGATAAATGGGAACGCTGAAAATTTGAAATTAGATAAAATTTTTATCATATTCTTCTTTTTCACGAGAAAAAGAAAATGGTAATTTTTAAAATGTTGGCAATAGTTCTAGCATTTCGATTCACGAGAAAAGGAATGATAATTTTTAAAATGTTGGCAGTAATTAGCATCTTGATTCCGTATTCTCGACATCGATTTCCTATTGGTTCGAGTTTAATGTAAATTTGTTGCACGTAACCAGATCGTATGATGTGTCATAATACTTTGAATAAAAAAAGATGAATAAGAAAATGATATATTGAAATAATATACGAAGAGGAGATTGCACGCGTTTGCGCTGATAGGATATTGTCCTAGGTCAGGTCCACCGAGCATGCTTGGTACATGCACTGTTACGGATGATCGATATGATGGTTACCGGCTAATATCATCAGCTGATTGGTTGGTCATATGCCAAAACGATTCGATTCGTCAGGTGGTTTCATTCAGCTTTTCCACTGACTTCATTAGTACATTCATATATATATATATAAGATAAGCCGAAAAAAAAAGAAAAGTGTTCAGGGTGTTCAGATTCAATATAAATAATCATTTAATATAACGAAACATTTAAAAATTAAATAGATAGAAACAAGTAATCTCTTTTCAATTCTTAATTTTAATATATATTCGTTGATATAGCGAAGAACGAAGAAACAGAATCGCAGACATATTAAAAAAATTTAACATCATTTGTTTGAAACTTAACTTTGAATTCTATAATTTGCATATCAAAATATAAATTTTTATTTTTCACGTTTTCTGTTAATTATAATGCTTATCGCATAATCTTGTCACCGGTTGAATATAAATTCTCGGAATAAAACTCCGAGAATTATTATGCATTTCATGGAAGTATCGACGCTAACTAGAAGTCTATTCTCGTCGGTTGATTAACTGGTGATATGTCAAGTAACAGTCAAGTTTGACCTACTTTTGCTGGCTGGTTCCATTCAGCTTTTCGTGGACCCACCCCTTAGAAGTTACCCTATTGCGTCACAAGTATCGAACGTCCCGATAACTGCACCAAACTGTATATGTATACGTATTTGTTCGTCTGTGTGCGAGTTCACGCGTCCACCTACGCGTTCGAAAACACGTACACGCCCACGTGAACACGACAATTTATTGGAAAATTTTCCAACTGACGTGATCATTTTGTGATTAAATTTATACAATTTTTTTTCGAAAGTAATTTTTTTCTTAATATTTATATTTATGCACAAATGTACGTATATTTGCGACAAGTTTATTATTTCCATTATCGATTTTTGCAAATTTTAATTAATTCAATTTTTTTCTGAGATATGAAAAACTCATTAAAAATATAATTAGATATAGCTTTAATATTATTTTTTTTCTATCTGTTACTGAGAATATAAATTAATTAAGATTTAATAGTTAATTTTTCGTATTTTTTTTAACACCAATAATGGAAATTAAGCTCGTTATTACAATTATGCGATTTTTACAAGATTTATAACCTTTTAAATCTTGGCATTTTTTTTCTATATAATAGAAATTATTTCGTTTATATTATTTTATAATATTATAAGTAAAAATAACCTGTGACATTTATTTACAGGTCAAGTAATATACACTTGGAAGTACGTTTGCGCATAAAAATAAAAGTTTGACGTAAGAAACTTAAAAGTAATTGATCATGCTGTGACGTATAGTATAGAACGTCATTGTCTCTACGTCTTTTAGTTAATGATGACGATTCTATGTAAACGTGGTGCGCTATAAATACCATCGATAGCCTTCGTTATAAAACTATCGACTTCCGATTTGAATTGGAACGTCTAGAGTTTTTCTTATAGCATCGAACGTGTGTACTATAGATTGTTAAACGATAATAATAAAAATATAATAAATAGAAAAAAAAGAAGATGAAAAAAGAAGGAAAATAGAGAAAACTATATAAATTATATTCTTTTTTTTTACAGGTGTTCTAGTCTTTTTATAATGCCTCTTCATCACAATCTACGAATTATTATGACGAAATTAATGAGAGGAATCGATTGTGATCAACTTTGATAACGACAGCTTCTCCTCGTATTGAACCGACTTGGTCGTCAAGTCTACTGGCGTTTCTGCCGAGGGCAACGCCCTCGCCAGCCCTCTCATCCCCATTCAGAAGAAACGTGGAAGAAAAAGAGGGATGTTCCGAGTAAGAGAACGGGAAGGGAAGCTTTCGCAGGGGTGGAAATTACAGACAAGTTAGCGAGTCGATTCACTGTGCTCGAGGCAGTTCGTTCTACAGGTGAATTTACCCAATACATTACAAATGTTGAATCTGCATGAAAATGCATTCAACGAAATGTAAGCAATATGATACAATTACATTATAAACGGTATTCAAAATTTAAAAAAAAATTTTAAACGGATTAATAAGGAATTAAATATTGTTAATTGAACTAAGAATTTGCACAATGAACATTTTGTTTGTCGAATGAACAACTTTCTTCTTTCATTATCTTTATTTATTTATTTTATTTTTCTTTTTGTGCATTAATCTAAAAGTGCAATATAATTAAGTTTGACTTACTTTTTACTCTTCACTTGCGTCTGCACAGATTGCTGAGTAGATGTTGGAGACTGGAACGAAGTGGTTGATGGTTTTATAGTTGTTGATCCTGTGACAACCGCTGATTTCTCGGATCTTTTCCGACGATCTTCGTTCGTGTAGTAACGAGAGTAGGGCGAACTATCCCATATCTGGGGTATTTCGTATCCCAGTTCATTTATTGTTCCATAACTGAAACAGAAATAAAGATCACACTGCTTAACTTTAATATTAAATTTTAAAGGTAAAATTTGTTAAATTTATTAAAGTTACTTACTCGTAATTTTTATGATCATAGAAGGCATTGTTAGGTGTATTAGAATGAGAGGGTTTCTCTTCTTCGATAAGGGCTGCTTTTAATCCGCCTAATCCCGATGCAGCTAGAGTTCCTTAGATAAATAACATCATAATATAAATCAAAATGCTTAAAGATTGATAAAAATGGCTAAAAATATTTGCTTAAATGTTTGGATACTTACTTTTTTCAGCGGTAGACGAATACGATGAGCTCGGATTATTCTCTGGTTGGTGATTCTGTTGGTTGCCGAACATCAACATTTCCTGTGCCCGTTTAGCTGGAGTCAAAACGAATATCATCAATAAGTATCATCAGTTGATTTTATATAAATAACATAAGATAACATTTTGCCTTACATTTTGGTCTCATCGTTTGTTCAGTCTTTTTTGTATCTTCTGCCAGATTTGTTGGCAAAGATTGGACAATCATGAGGAGAGAGCACAGAGTTAGTAACCACACCCAATCGCACATCATCTGTAAAAAAATTGATTTTTTATATTAATAATTTAAACTTTAATTAATTTTATACTTGAAGAACAAGAGGATACAAGTATATATTCTTTATTGACTAAGATTATGCAAAGGTTTCTTGACCCTTTAATCAAACATGAAATTGATTGTAGTTAGAAGAAGTAGGGTTGCTATAAAGTGTTTCCTTCGTGCACAGACGTTGACGTTTACACCCCTTGCAAGCGCAAGTAAACGAAGATAGCAGGTCACAACGAAAGAATCTTAAATGTCACATAATGCGAAATGTCAGGAATCTATTTCCATTGCATGTGAAAAATTAAAGGGCATATATGTCGGAAGTTCCATAGGAGATTGTAAATGTTTATACGATTTTATACAAATTTCAATTCACAGGGATAATAAATCTCATTTTATATGGAAAATTATATCTTGATTTCGAGATTAGGCGAAGAATTTAATTTATGATATTAGAATAAAAAAATTTAATTTTCTGCTATTTCAATTATGTTTTTTTTTTTTTTTTTTCTTAACGATGAAAAGTAAATTAAATTTGGAGTGGAATTAATTTGAGTTTATTTATTTATTTATTACGATTACGTTTCACAAGTGAGCGAGTTTCAGATGATTGGAAACTTTATGGTGTTAACAAGTGAAAGATGATAATTTAATCACAAGCGGCATACGCTCAATTAGTTTACATCGATGCACGGGAGTTAATTAGAAATGCAATTAAGCAAATCTCAGCAAAGGGTTGTTTCATAATCTATTTCGTAACAGGTATTCCATTAATTTGAAATGTCAGAGTTCAAAAAGATTTTTTTTAATCACACATAGTTACGTGATTAATACGAATAATGTAATAAAACACAAATATTATTTAATCTATTTTTTTCATATCATTTTCCTTCTTTTTTATTATTTCCTTTTTCTTTTCGTTTTAAAAAATTCAACTGAAAAATATTAATACAAATATTTCCTAAAGATTTTAAAGATGAAGAAATCTGGAAAAAAAGTTTGAGATTTAATACTTGATATCGTTGAACAATTAAAAACTGTCCAGGAAATAAAGGTAAATCGGATATAGTAGACCCAGAAATCGCACACTTGTTGCATCTAGAAATACTATAGTCATTTATCGCGTTGTATACGCGTCTATGTAACTCGCAATTAAAAATACATTTCATTGACTGTGCTTTCATTGACAAATCCAGACACTCAAAGGCTAGTAAAAACATCGATATTATCTATCTTAAAAAAAAAAAAAAAAAAAAAAAAATATACCTTCTTTCGAATCTTTATCATCGACCATTTTAAAAATTAATTAGATTTTCGTACTACGTGTTACGAAAATTTAAGGATATCTCTTCCTTTTGAACGAATGCAACGCATATACGAAACTCTTTGAAACTCTTTGAGAAGAATTTTCTACGTATATATATATATATATTCGAAGGTTCAAGGAAACACTATATATCGCCGATAAGAGATCTTCGTGACCAAGCAATTTCTATTCTCGTACTTCTATTTATACGCGAACAATTTTACACGGGCCTTTATCTCACGAAAGTTAGGGCAAATTAAATCGATCGACGGGGATCACCAATTTCTAATTCGAATTTCCCTCAAACAGAACTATTTGTACTCGAATGATAATAATAAGTATCGAACGATTGAACCAAGAGTTCTGTTCACCTTTCACCGTTGACTGTTTTCTTCTTATTCTACAGATTTCTGCCGGTCGATCTTCAGACGATTTCTTCTTATCTGGGATGCGATTCTCCCAGGAGGATGAAGAGAACCAGCGGGTTCGGCTGATCGAGGTAGAATGAACGTTGGGGCTGAGCAGGACGGCTAGAAAACTGGCGAGAGGGTACGGTCGATCAACCACCCCCACCTTAGTGAACGAGCACCCCTACCCTGAAAGCAACCCCTACCGCGTCTCTACGAAGTGATATGACGTGACGCACACGCGCACGGTTACATGGACAGTCTATATGGAACATACACACGCGCGCGCATATACACATATATACACACACCTATTGTGCCACGAAATACGTCTGCCCACGCGATGACCCGATCAGATCTTAGGGCTATCTTTGAAAATCTTCTCTTACATCGTCGCGTCTTGGTCCCTTATTGTTTTAAAAATTCGGCCTTGTTAAAGCGTCGTGACAATTATTTTTCTATAATTTCGATTAAGATTCCATTCGATGAAATAATTATTCTATTAACGTTAACTGTGTTTTAAGAAAGATCTCGCACGGTTGTATGCGCGAAAAAATGAAAATGTGTTGTTTTCAAAATTTTTTCAATGTCATAGTACTTTGTATCCATTTAATTAATTAAAATGGAGATCTTCTGGGGAGATGCTGATTAATTAATATGTTCGTTTTAATATTTCAATTGAATTACATTCCTTCAAACTTTTCCTCTATGTTCAATATATTACATTCATACGTTGAAAGTACATTCTATGAAAAACCGTGGATCTCTTCTTTTCAATTAATTATCTATTATTTGTCGAATATTTACGATCAAATATTTCAATAGGATATATAGTTTCTTATTGAACAGAGAAAGAAAGAAGCATAGATCCTTTTTAATTAAAAAAAAGATTTTTTCAAAGTTAATTATTATTCTTACAATTTATCGCTTTCGAGAAAAAATATTTTCTCAACGAGATATCATGGCTTGTTTCCCTCGTGTGGTTCTCATCGCAAATCCGTATTTTCTTTCATGTCTGGAACAGCGTCAGAGTTGTGCAGGAGGAATTGTAGCACCGTTTTCCGTATTCAGTCCCCGGCCACTTTTCTTCAACCCCCGCAACAGGCCAAACGCCCACGCCATCGTATAACGCCCACGACCACCCAACGCCCACGCATATGAGAAAGGGAGAGAAAGAGAGAGAGGAGAAAACGAACCAACCAAAGTACAAAAATTTTTCTTTTTTTTTTTTCTTCTCATTGTTACGTTCACGTCTACTAATAAACGTTCTTACGAATATGAAATAATTTAAATCAAGAAAGAAGATTTTTTTTTTTAAATAATTTTATCTTCTAAGATAAAATTTGAGATTTTCTCAAAATTCCATTCTTTTTTTTTTTTTTTTTTTTATTTAATCATTCTTTTGCAAAATAATCATAGATTTGATGTGCTCGACGAGAAAAGGAAAAGTATTTTACTCTGGAAAAATATGGAAATTCATTTAATTTGGATATAATATTCTTTGCATTCTCTTATCGTTATTTCAGGAAAGGAGGAGTAAAGTGAGATGGCAGAAAAGAATAATTGCAGAGTTAGATGATATATATAAAATTTTGCGAGAGAAGCCGGAAAATTCTCGGAAGTAACCACTCTTTAGCAAAGTGTTTACTTGAGATACGACGCATCCTAGCGCACTACGTGCTTCAGTAATTGACCTATTTCCAAAGAATCGGCTGCACGCTTGCGCGAATTAAAGTAGTTGTTGCACAAAACAAGCGCAACTCGCCTCGTTGGAGTTTTCATAAAGTAACAATGTTCGTAAAATATTATGGAAACGTTTTATGGTAACAGATGCTCGAAAACGATCTTAATAAACACGAGGAGATTTATTCTAATGCAATTATTTTAATTGCAATTATTTAATTATTGTATATTAACGATAAAAAAAAGAACATTAAAAACATTCAATTGAGAGAAATAAAAAGTTTTCATTTTACTATGCTCAATATGAAGCTTATTTAACATCTGAGAGATAAGGAAAAATATTTTTGTATTCGATTGCATTCCGAGATGGATTTCATAAAATAAAAGCATGCAATCATTGTTAATTTTTGCCGAAATATCGGGAGCAATTAACGCCACACCCTCAACCACTGACAAAACATATATTCTCTCTTTGAATTTGAGAATATACTTGTTCAGAGACACGTGACTGTATTTCCTCGAGAAGCAAATGGGAAAATTAATTTTCGTAAATTCACTAGAAGCTATTCCGAAGAGGATACATCCGAACCCAGCCGTCGTTGTAATTACGGGGGAGCAAATTCTGTGAAATAATATAATTCGACGTGCTCGATCCGAAGGTTGGTTCCCATTGACGTCAGCCGTTGGTTCTGGAAACGACGAATCCCCGTGCTTCGAAAACTTAGTGGGGGACATACGCGTCGTGAGGAAATGATTCGTAGGAGGGGAGCATGGATATTGTATCCAGGGACGTTGCATGAACATCACAACTCCAGGATCAAAATAATTTTTCGACAGATAATAGCTAAACAATAAAATCTTTTCATATCTATTTTTATCGGCGACTTAAAATATCGAATCATTAAACTTTAATTCCACGTATGAAAATATTTTAAATATAATTTTATTAAATTTTTATATGCATTCTCATTCTATTTAACAATATAGAAATCATCGATTTTTTTATTTCAAAACACATTATATTCTGTGTAATATATATTAAAGCAAATATTAATTTAGATATAAGGAGAATAAATAGAATTTTTAATATTATTTTTAATATTATTTATTAAAAAAACAAAAAAATGTAAAAAATTTGAATAATTATTAATACATAAATAATAAATTTTATATCCATAAAATATAAAGACAGTAATGTAAACTTATATTAGGACAGGCATTTATAATCATTGATACTATCCTGCGGACTAGCTATAACTAGAAGAGGTATCCCGAAGGAATAGATCGATGTTTCACTCTCTGTAGTAAGAGACGCCTGTTGCTGTAAAACAGGAGCAGCTTCATTCATGAAAACGGCAAAACGTGAACACATGTATCATTCTAAATTTCCATGATAATTAAAAATTATTGTAATTATTAATTAATTTTAAGAATAAATTCATTTTTTCATAAATTTTTTGTAACTATTGATAATAATTATGCAATTATTATTTTAAATTATTTATTTAAATCTATAAAAAATAATATAATATATATAATAATATTATATACGTAATATATAATATTACTTCAATTATTTGCATACAATTAATTTTCAAATTACGTTAAAAAATATTATAATAAAATACAAAATACGAAATAAATCTAGTCTTTTTTTGAGATTTTATGTTCCATGATTATATTTAAAAAAAATAGAGATTTTAATGTGTTCTTATATATATATATATTTTTTTTATATTTTTTACATATTTTTGTTTTTTTATTATTACATCGCATTCATAAAACGACATTTTACTGACGTTACAAACAATAAATTAGGAAAAAGACAGAGATAGGATAAAAAATATGGAATCAGCGCCATCTCTAGAATGCTACATAAACAAAGAGAACATATAATAAAAAAAGATAAAGTAAGAATTGACTTTCAACGCCATTTCTAAAGTAAACATGTTAAAAATATTTTTTCATAAATAAGATAAGATAGAGTAAGAATTGATGACCTATATCATCTTTTGAATATTTTTAAAAAGATATCTTTTGCATTTAAGAGATAGCGCCAGCAATGAATTCTTACTGTTAAAAAGATATCTCTGATTCTTAAAAGATAGCGCTAGAAATCAATTTTTATTTTATATCTATATTCTTATAATTTAGTTTTTTTATCTATATATATTATATTTTTGAGGTATTCTAAAAATAGCGCTGATTTCATAATTTTTATTCTATTTCTTCTTTAATTATTTCTGCTTTTTTTCTTTGTTTTTTCAGGCATTTAAAATAATGTTGATTTTTGACTAATTTTATTCTCTTCTTTATTTAAACTATTGATTAAAAATTTAACAGAATTTATTTGATCCAATTTTTATATATTATAAATATACAAAATTATACAAAAATGTGAGAATATTAATTAATTACAAATTGGATTAATTAATAATTTTAAGCAACATTTTTTTTTGCAAAAATTTTTTTACTTCGGTCTTGTGAACGAATTATTAACAAAAATATTGATCAATCACGAAACATATAGATTAATAAAGTCGCGAAGATAGTATTAAGTATATGCTATCGATTAAATACAATATTTAAGCAACATATGTCCAAAAAGATCTATTTTCATCTGTTTTAATCTTTTTATCAAAAAAATATATCGAATTAGATTTATTAAAACAATTAATTATTATTCATATTCGAATTAATTAATTATTATTCGTACAATACATTTATAGGATTTTATCCATTTTTTATCTATCCTTCTTTTTTTATCTTCATTCTTCTTTTCATCATCTCTTTTCTTTCTATGGTATTCTTCTCTTCATCTGTTTTGTCATTTTGAATCTTCTTTTGCCATCACTCTCCTTTGTTATCCTCATTCTTCCCACTTTTTTATCATTCTCTTATATCCTCTTCCTTTCTTTTATCAATTTCTCCTCTTTCTTTTTTTCATTAACTTCTTCACTTCCCTTTCTTCACCAATTTCTCTTTCTTCCTTCCTTCTAATTTTCCTTTCTTCCTTATCAATTTCTCTTTTTCTTTTTCTTTATTAATTCTCCCTTCTTTCTTTCTTTATTATTCTTGTTTTTCTTCTCCAAAAGTTATTATTTATCATTTATTTATTAAAAATGTTCTAAGATGTTTTTTTTATCACAATTTGATTAGTCAATATTTTTTTATTAATAATTTGTTGAATAATGAAAATTTTTGCTTATGAATAATGAATATGTTATTTAAAATTTTTAGATTTTCATATTCCATATATATATATATATATATATATTATTATTATTATTATTTTATGTTTATATAAAATTTATATTTTTATATTTTAACATATAATTATATAAACTTTTTTATATGAAAAAATGAACATTAGATGATGTTTGTTTTATATCTTTATTAATGTGTAAATATATATGTTCATTTTTAAATATATTAAATATATTTTCATAATTGTAAATAATAAAAAATTTCTATCTATTTAATTTTCCATAAATATTTCTTTAAAATGAAATTATACAAATTACAATTTAAACTATTTAAAAATTTAATAAAGTTTTAATAAAAGTGCGAACAATGAAAAAATATAATGTTATATTTATACAAATTTATTCAAAAATAAAGTAAGATGACAGTAGCACTTCCTGTTTAGTAGTGAGAATTTGTAAATATGTAATGATGTTTTGTCAATATCATTAATGTAAAATTTATATGGTATAATAAATAAAGACATTGCATGATCTTTGTTGATAATTGAATCGTTGTGACCAATGCAATAATAATAAAACGAATAAATATAGCGAAAAAATGGCGAGACAATCGTATAGTATTGTTGAGTATTATGGTGAACAAGACAAATATAGATGTGGTTATTGTAAGAGTCCAAATACAAATTTCAGTCATGGCAAGTATTAAATTTTATTTTAAAATCATTTTTATCATGTATATGGAAAATTTGATACTTATGTCAAAAGGTTATGTTATATCTGATTGTTTTAAACATATGTAATTTTTGTTCCTGTCTTATTAAATTTCATATATTTATTATATCATTAGATATATATTTATATTTATACTATTTAAAAAATACTTTTTATATACTTAAATGTAATTCATTTTAGGTATGGGCACACATATATTGACTGTTCAAGACTATCAAGCTTTAATTGATAGAGGTTGGAGAAGATGTGGTTCTTATTGTTATAAATCTACTATGGATCAAACATGTTGTCCAATGTATACAATTAAGTAAGACTGATAATTTTTAATTGCTTTAAAAATTAATTTTTATATATATGAGAAATAATAACAAATGTTAAATATTTAAATATCTAAAAATAGATGTGAAGCTTTAGAATTTAAAATTTCTAAATCACAAAAGAAAGTTTTGAAAAGAATGGCAAAATTTTTAAAAAATGAGTTACATAAAAATGATACTATGGATATATGTGAAGGAGATTATCGTGATAATACAGGTAAAGATATATAAAGTTTTCATTAATATAATTATAATTAATTAATATAATTATTTTAATTAAAATAAAATACATTAAAAACATTTTAATGTATATTATATTAATGTAAATATTAATAATATAATTTAATTTAATTTATTTTATTTTGTTTAAAAATAATTTGTCTATACTTTATTGCAGATATTGAAGAAATTCCTAATCATGATAAACAATTTCTAAAAGCTAGTAAAGATATTTCTGATATGAATGTAAAATTTATTAATGATGATATTAATGCAAGATTACAACCTAATACATTAGACAAAGGAAAGAAAAAATGTGATTTAAATATCAAACAAAATTCTGAAAGTATACCTGTTATATCAAATCTTGAGGATGATAGCCACAATACTTCCCAAAATCTAGAATCAGGAATGAATCCTTCTCAAAATCCTTGTATGAAAGCAAAATTTTTGCGTAAACAACGAAAACAAAATAAATTAATGGCACAAGGAAAATCTCAAGAAGAAATAGAAGCTATTTTCAAAGAAAGTAAGCAAGAGAATCAAGTTAAAAGTTTGGAGGAATTATTTGATGAAGTATATAATGAAAATAATAGATTGCAGGTAGGATGGTACATTTACTTCTTTATATATTTCATCATTATATAAATAAATATTGCATAAAAATGGTTTTTACAAAAGTTGGTCCTCTTTTCTCCAATTTATCTAATATTTAAAAATTAGGTAGGAAATATATATATTGGAAAATAATTAAATAATAATTTTATTTTTTTCATATTTTTTTATTCATTCAATTTAGTTGCAACATTTCATTATAGTTCAATTTGATTTGATAAAATTATGTAAAATTTAACTTTTACTAGCTGAAACTAGTTAGAACTTCACCAATGAGCTCTGGATACCTAAACACTTCAAAACAATCTTATGAGATATATAAAAAATATCAAACAACAATACATGGAGTTTTAGCAGAAAAGGTTACAAAGAAGCAATATACAAGATTTCTTGTGAAATCACCTTTACAGGTAATTTTACAATTTCTATAGTTTTTTGTTATTCTGATCAGTTATCTTTAAATTTCTTTATTTATCAAAATAAGATTATAATAATTTTTTTATTTTTTACATAATATCATACATAATTATTATTAATTGTATTAATTAATTATATAATATTATTAAATATTAATTTTAAAAAATTATAAAAAGTATTATTATATTGAAAAATAAATAAATTATTGTGATAAATAATTGGAGCAAAGTGGACTTTCTTGCAAAGTGCATGTTATACATTTCTTTATTACATATAATTTGTATATTTAAATTCATCAGATAAAATTGGTGAGAACAATGTCGGATGAGTTTATTAAAACTCTTAAAGTAAGTGCAAATCTCTTTAAAAAATATCAAATGACTATTCATGGTGAATCAGAAGAGGAATCAGATGATGAATCATTCTTCAACTTCCTTGTAAAAAGTTCTTTACAGGTACACTTTGTATTCAGGATGGTCTCAATTTGATTTTATAATTTAATTTTTTACAATAACACTTTTGCATTATTAATTAATATATTTAAAAATTAAACAAAATTATGTATGGTATTGTTATAATCGTTTTTATTAAATACCGCTTCCTTTCCATTTAAAAATTTCATTGCTTTGGACAAAGAATATATACAAATAAGGAGTTTATAATTTTGAAGCCATGGACTCCGGATGACGGACCACCAAGTGGATATGGTTCATTTCATGAACAATATTGGTTAGATAATGAATTAATTGCAGTTGGAGTAATAGATATTTTACCATCTTGCGTTTCAAGCGTTTACTTTTTTTATGATCCGGCATATTCTCATCTATCACTTGGAACATTTAGGTTGGTAAAAAGCTTTTTTACTTTGTGTTTACAATAAATTGTTAACATTTTATATTTTATATAGTTCCCTTCGAGAAGTTTATTTGACAAGACAATTAAACAAAATAGCAAAAGATTTGAAATATTACTATATGGGATTTTATATACATATATGTCCCAAAATGCGGTATAAAGCACGAATGAAACCATCAAAACTATTATGTCCTGAAACTTATATGTGGTTTGATATAGAACCATGTTTATTAAAATTAGATAAACAAAAATACAGTAGACTGAATGATGATGTTAATGCTATTGATGAAGATGGTATAGTTGATATTCATAAGGTAATAAACATGGTAATTTTTATATTTCATATCACAAAATTTTTTTATTTTATTTTCATTAATAACAAATATTATTTTTCTTAAGATACTAGTTTTATATCAGCAAACTGCAATGCCATATGAAATATATACAAAACAAGTTCACCAAACAATAACACAAGAAGAGGAGAATGAGATTAAAGAATATGCTAATTTGGTTGGAATGAAATGTGCACAGAGATTGTTACTTTATCGTTATTAAATGCTTGCAAATCTGTAAGAAATTTTAATTCATATATTTCATTTTATATATAAAGAACAATTTTATGTTTTATCAAAAGAAAATTATTATGAATTAACAAAAAAAGTTAATAATCAAAATTAATCAAATTAGTTTTGAATAAAGTATTTGTGATGATAAATGTATAATAACTTAACAAATTCTTATCAAATAAAAATGATTCTTTGTGCTGTACATATATAATATTTATTGTCCTTTCCTCTTTGTTATTTTATATAAAGAAATAAATTATTAATATTCTTCAAAATTGAAAAATAATTAAATATTATTAATAATATCTTAATTGTATAATAATTTCAAGTTTGATTAATGTACAGCACGTTAAATTGATTGAAAGAATATTGCATACTTTATATGCAATATTTTAATTTCATGCATAAATACTTTATTTTTATATATAAATGATATATAAATTTTATTTATAATATATATAAAAAATTTTATTAAAATTTTGATAATATCTTTTATTTATTAAAATTAGAATATTAATTTGAAATATATTTTCTATAAATAAAAAAAATAAAAATGTTTACTAAACGATGTTTAACTTTGATTCAGAATATATTTATTTAATGAGAAAACATTTTTTTTTAAATTGTTATAACATTTTAAATCATACTTGAAATTTTAATAAATGCTATTTTTTCTCTATTAGAATTTATTTGTATTGAAATTAATTGAAAAAAAATATTGCATATGAAATATGCAATATTTCAATTTCATAAATATTATTTTTATATGTAGAATATTTTGTAGTGATCGAACAATGGATTATTTTATGCGAAACAATAAATTGACAATAAAATTTTTTTATTTGAGGTTTCGCTTTTTTAAGTAAAATAAGTTTGAAAAATTTTTAAATACTAAATTAAAATTGCTATTCTTAATTAAATAACGAATGAAATATTAACAGATAGTTATTTTACATGTGAAAATAAGCAAAAAGTATTTCAAATAAAATAAATTTTTCTTATTTAAAAAAAATTAATTTTCGAAAAAATAAATTTCCAATCGATTATACGATTTTATATTTAATTTAGATTTTTGTCAAAAATAAGGATTTAAATGATAAAATTTTTATTCTATATTTTTTGCTTATATTCACGTATAGAACTACCTTGACTTTTTATTAAAATTTAAGATATTTTTTTTATTTATTGAAATTATTTAAAACATTAATTTAAATTAAAACATTAATTTAAATCATATTTTTTATAAATGATGAAATCAACGTTTAACTCTCATCCATCCTTTATTTTAATAATATGTTTCTCAAATTGACATAATCAATAATCAATAAAATGAAAAAATAATTATTTTATCAAAAATAAAAATTTATAATATAATAGAAGTTACTTGAAGTTTTCGAAGATTTCATTTGCATGCATTCGACTTTGTATTACTTCAATCTTATTTTTGTTCTTAATTTTGCCATATAAAAAAGAACGAAGAGAAAATAGATATAAAATTTTTTTTCTCTTCTTTCAATTTATATCAATATACAAATGCATAATTATGCAATTTAATAAAGATACATAATTATCATACGACAATTAAAATCTTACAAAGATCTTGCCATCAATGATTTGGCAAAACAAAAATTATACGTTGTAATTAAATTATATTTATTTTTATTTTTTATTTATTAAATATATAGTTTATTAAATTATACTAAATTAACATACAAAGAACATTTTTGTAACAAATATATTTCGTATCACATTTGCTTTTATTGCATATTTTACTATTAATAATACAAGATACATATATTTCATGTTAAAAAAATAAAAATCACAAAAATTAATATTTTTTATAAATAACAGAAAAACGTTATTTTTTACATAAAAAAATGTGTCACGAAATTGACACGAAAGACGGATGAGAATTAACTTTGGTTCAAATATATTTATTCAATAAAGAAACACTCGATTATATTCTATAACATTCTAAATCATATAAAAAATTTAAGAACTTCGTTCTCACATAATTGCATACATAATTGCATAAATTTTTGAAATTTTAATAAAATTTTGCGCTATTTTTTCTCTCTCTACTAGAACTTATCTATTTGCATCGAGAAATTTATAAAATATTTACAATAATATTTCTTATGCATCCACGATGGTTCTATCTATTTGTCAGTACGATAAAAATATAAGTAAAATTATAGTTTTATAAAAATTCAACATACGTAATTTATAATTTAAATTAATACTTATTTTAACTTTTTTTTTTGTCGCAGAAATATTTAACGTTAAAAATAAAAATAAAAATTTTAAATATAATTAAGTTTCGTTTTCATCCGTTTCGATTCGAACCTCGTTCCAAGGTTGAATGTTTCCGCTTCCTCCGAATAAGAAGACGATCATGCAAACTATGCACACCCCAGCACCAATCCAGAACAATGTTTGCCATCTTTCGATAGGATTCTAAAAAGAATTAAAAAGACAAATTATATATGCGTATAATATTTGCAAGATCATTTTTCAATGAATAAACACATTTAGCAAATTTAAATAATAATAAGATTAATAGAAAATAACATTCATAATAAGCATAAGCGTTGATTAATGTGCTATATACAAAAAAAAAAAATACACCACACGTACCCACACAGATGCAGGAAAACGATAAAATGCTGTACGATTAGATGTTACTGCGTTGCATGGATGGATTACCTGATGATGCGTCTTGTGGGTACTTCTCGTACTATAAATTTGATGATATAGAGACGAGTAGTACCCACGAGTCGTCATCACCACGAGTATCTGAATAGATGTAATAGTATTGGCCAGTAGGTATAACTCGTACTATAAAATTTGATAATATAGAGACGAGATGTACCCACAAGTCGTCACCACCGTAAAAATCTGAATAGATGCGAATGAGATTAGCTTAGCAAGGCCATCTGCTGTTTAACTTATGCGATTTCTTATATACCGGATTGGTTTATTGATATTGACATATTAATTAGTACTTTATGCACGAATGCGAAAATTACAGATCGCATATATATGTATGTATATTATTATATATCGTATTCATTGTATCGCGTATATATCTCTAATTCTGTTCTAATAATTCTAGATAGAATTCAAAAACATTTATCGTATCGTTTGCAGCAGAGAAATTGCAAATGCATGAATATGAAAGTAGAGCATATATTGTGAAGCAAGGAGTCGATCGCATAGCGCGCATAAAATTTTGAAGCAATTTCATTTTGGATACATCGCACACACGATTTCCCAGTACTGCCCGTACTATGGAGTTACGCAACACAGTACAAGGCTGGACTGAGGTCTCGAATATGCCAAGAGCACCTTTACCGTGCGCAACTGTAATAAGATATTCGTTACTCTATCGCATACGATGAGCACACGAATAAAAAATTACATAATTCTCTATGCGAATAATTTGACATGTATAATTGCCGCTGTGATTAGGAAGCAATAAGCGAAAGCAAAAAGCGGACACTCTTACACTTAGAAGTCGCGTAGAAAGCTTACTTACTCCATATTTTCCAGCTATCTCCTCGACCAGAGGAGAAATAATAAAACCGGAAGTACAACCGATAGTGTTCATGATACCGTATAGAAAACCGGCAAAATTCGGGGAAAGATCTTGATTGTTGGACAGGTTGGAGATGCTCGCCGCTCCGTTAAAGCCAAGCGCCAACATAAGAAATATGTTAGCAAGCACGAACCTGCATCCAACGTATCCGACCAAAATGAAGAAGAATCCAGGCAGGAAGTGAGCTACAAAAGAAAAAAAAGAAAAGAAAAGAAAAGAAAAATAAGAAAAACATTTTCTTCTATCGGTGAAACGAAACGATAAGATTCAAGATTAATCGGCCGCCCTTACAGAAAAACGTTGCGCCTTTACGTATAGTGGTGACACGAAAGATGTTCTTTCTCTTCAACGTATCACCAGCCCAACTGAAAAAGAAGCCGAAGACCATTCTGAAAAGCCAGGGAAGAGCGGCTGCGATACCACCTCTGGTCAATTCGAATCCTAAAGCTTTCGTTAGATAAATCATCATGGCGTTTTGATAAAAGAAGAGGAGAAACATATTCCCGAAATGGCACACGATCAAGCTGAGGAACGGTATTGAAGTAAATATTTCTTTTAACGGTGTTTGTTTCAACGTCGGCTTTACTTTGCGAACTGTGCCCGCTTGTTCACTGAGAAGAAAGAAACAGAGAGGAAAAAAAAACATTAAGCGTACAACACATCTCTCATAAAACTGATGGAGAGAAAGAGAGAGAGAGAGAGAGAGAGAGAGAGAGAGAGAGAGAGAGAGAGAGAAAGTATTAAGTATTCAATAATATAATTTTCACACAAGACACTCACGTGATAATGTAATCCTTTTCTTCAGCCGAGATACCAGGATGCTCTTCGGGAGAATCGTATGCGATAAGCGCCCAGAAAAATATCCAAATCACCATTAACAACGATGGAATGTACCATCCGTTCTCCCATTCCAAGGATTCTGCTATACCAGCGACCAATGGATACGTGAAAATGGTACCGAACGTGCCACCGAGCAACGACCAAACAAAACGTGCCTTCTCGTTCGGAGGCGCCCAACGCGCCACCAAACTGTGACACGCCGGAAACGTTATACCACCGGTCACACCGATGATTATCCTCGAGACTAAAAGAATGCCCCAGTGAAATTGTGCGAGGATTGGGCTGAAGAACGATATCGTAACTGCTAGAATTGATGTCCAGAGTATCGCGTTCTTTGCGCCCCATTTAACGGCCATCATACCGCCCAACAAATTTCCAGGAACATTACCGTAGCTGTACGCGGCTATTAATTGGCCGCGAACTTCGGGCCTCCAATCGAAAGGTAGACCGTTGAATATGTATATACCACTCGGCCTGATCGGTTTCGTATCAGCTCTCCTTACGCGAACGTTGTTCGCCTTTGAATTGGCAAGTGCATTCTGAGCGGCTTCTAACCTCTCCGCAAGGATATAATCTTCGAGATATATGCCGGGATCCAGCCAGGCGATGGCGCGACGTATTCTAACGTCACATGCGGCGCCCGACATGTTGACACCAGCTGTGGGCCGAGCCTTGATCATCGGCACGGCCAGGATTGGCATTTGTAACCTCAACATGTAATTGGTCCAGCAGGCCGTGAACATCATTATACCGATCAAAACTCGCGTCGGGAGCCATCCTATAAAAATGTACGGTATGGTAAAGAATGTTCGACGAGTTCGATGAAATCTTCGCTTTTATTATTATTATTATTATTATTATATTAATTCGTATATTTAGTTCACATAGGAATAGGATAAACAAGATTTTTTAATTTTTGATAAAAATGTATGGATCGTTTGTTTGTAGAGATTGAAGAATATTCGGGGAAAGATATTAGGAAATTTTGAAATTGTCGCTCGCGACTTTTTTTTTCTTTACTTACTTAAACATTTCCAAATTGGAGAATCGGAGTGGGTAAAAAACCAGAAGGGCATACCTTCCTGGATAGATCTCGGAATAAGACGCCAAAAAGGATTCAAGCGTAAAAAGGATAACGTATGTAAATGAACATTAAAAAATTAATTGGCTAATTGACTAATGTTTAATAAGATACAAATTGACAAATTGTCGAATCAATATGTCATGCCAACTATGATCGCTCGATGTTTAACATTGTAAATTTTACCGTTTGTTTTTCTATTTTTAATTAATTTCTATTCGAGCTCGAGTTTTCATTATATCAACCAATTTTTCTATCTATTTTTAAATCGTTTGAATTTCGATTAAATTTTTATGAATATCTAGAGAGAATAACAATTTGTTGTTAAAAAAAAAAAAGAAAAAAATTATATAATCATTAAAGAATATTTTGAAATACTTTTGAAGAGTTTGAGCGTTTGAAAATGAAATTAAATATAAAAATATGCAAAAATTACGTGTAACGTGACTTATCTTCTTACGCGAAAAAGAGGACAACGTTGTATTTGAGTGTAAAGATCTTTCCCATAATACTCATTATTCCTAGTCACATATATAGTAGGTACGTCTTTCAAAGAAAGTTCTCGACCACTTTCCAAGCATTCCACACTGTATTTACAAACTATCGTTACCGTGTGCCGTTATTTACAAAATTGATACTGCTCTGGTTACAGATCCTACTCCCGTTTCGTGTACTATTCCAATGAAAAGTTTCTTATTAGATATTTGATTCGATTTACCCTATCTATGTAAAAATATATAATGTCTAATACGATATCGAAGAGGCACGTAAAGGAGCAATAAAGTTATGAATATTTTAAGTGACTATATAAAGGAGAAAGAAAGAAGGAAAGAAAGAAAAAAAAAAAGACGAAGAAAAAGAGAGACAAATACAGAATATTATTTTGTTGCAGTGGAGAACGCTGATTTTTCAAAAAGAGAATTAACTATAAAATTTGAACGATAATCTTGTAACAAGGTTAAATAACGGGCATGATTCGAAATCTATGCCGGTAAGAATGAAATACACCGATTATACTAAATCGTACTAAACGTACCGAAACGTATCGAAATTTCGAATTGTTGGTCGAAAATGATACGAACTTGGTACCGGTATTCTAATAATTTTAATTGGAATTATTTCAATTGAAAGAATTGATAAAAAGTAATTGGAAATTGATTAGAATACAAACGGCTGAACTAAACCGGTCGTTTCAGAAAATCAGGTTTAACACGTAAGAAAAATAAATTAAATAAAACAAAGATATTCTACTTACGTGGGAAGAATTTCTTGTAATACTGCTTGTACATTCTGTGGTTTCAGCAAAAGAATTCTCGACACGCACCAGTTATGTTGTTATATATTCGAAAGATCTCTTCGAAACATTGTTCAAGAGAAAAACATTATTCGAAGGAAAAATTGATCTCGAAGTTGATGGATTTATGGATTCCGCAAAAGTTTAATTCTGAACACGAGAACCAACTAGAAACCGCTAAGAACTAACTGATGACATCGGTTATTCCGCTGCCTATTTAAGTGGTCGGTAGGTGAGAGTAAGTGGGGAAGCCAGGTACATCCCTTCCATAGGATAACATGGAAAGGACATCGAATTTTAGGGATTGAACCCATGTTACTCCTGCAGCTTGCAGGTCTGCTGACCATCATTTTCCTTTTTCACCATTGTTTTCGCCATTTCTTGGTCGAATGAAAGCTTTCGAAAGATATTCTTAACGAAAAATTATTCAAATATTTTAAAACTAGAATAATTTTACATATAATTAGATATATCATTAACTTGCCATAACTTTTTGTCTATTATGAATTAAACCAAGTTTAAGTTAAGAAAATCGTAAATAATCGGTCAGGTATGCGAATTATGCCGTTCCAGCAAAATTACACGATTGCACTTTTGTTAAAAAACGCTTAATGAAAATTTATAAAATAAGTGCTCTTCGATAAGATAAATATTTCTCGTTTGCTTATATCCAATTTGACGGTAAAAAAAAAAAAAAAAAGATTAGACAAAACGATACGTGAACGTAAAAAAATCTTATATTATTCTCTGTTATTGTCGCGTGTTCATTATGATTCCGGTTCAACATCGTGGGATGCGGCTTCCTTAATTTTCAATAATTTGCCAACATTTTACGTAATTCTGCGGTTTACAGATACACGTGCGAATTTGTGCACCGGCTACGGAATTTCCGTGATGTGTCATTCTTTTTTTATTTTTTTTTCTTTTTCTTTTTTTTTTTTTTTTTTTTTTTTAACTCGAAGATACCATATTTTTCGATCGATTAAATAATGTATATGTTTAATTAAAACGAATATCTTGAAATCTTGTTTTGTAGAAACATCACGGTCGGATTTCACTTGTGACTCAAGAAAAAATGCATCGATTCGAATTATCGCGCGTATTCAAAGTAATTACAGTACATTAACTCGATCACTGTTATGCAAAAAGATCATTGTCTTCGGTGGCTATCGATAAACTTTTGTCCATCGGTAACAGGCTACCAATTATCGGTGCTCTTGTTGACATGAATCGCGATGTTAATTGAAAGAAGACACTATGAATCAGTATTGAAGAAAATAGAAAAAATAAAAAATATTAATACGACCCAATGATCTATAGATACGCGATGTATGAATTGATGTGTGAATTGATTTTAGATTAGAAAAAGTAAAATAAAATTAAATTAAATTAGAAGAAAAATAAATAATTCTTTTTTTTCTTTTTTATTCGATTTTTTTATTCAACAAAATATATTTTTGGACGAGTCATTGTAAACAACAGGAAACGATTAAATTATATATCGGTATGCTGCATCGATTGATGATAGTTGTTGCAGTTTTGAATAATAATTTGATCCCTAACTTATAGATAAAAAATATATAATAAATATTTATTATAATAATAAATCTTTGTAAAGATAATTATATTCATATGGAAGATTTCCCATTTATAATTTGTTAAACGTTTTAATTTCATTTATTTTTGGAAATTTTATTTAAACAGTGTGAATCTCTCTGTTGAGTTTACATTGATGATTAAATAATTATTCAACGATAATTATACGATCAAGAAGATTACATATGAAAGTAGAAAGTAAATATATAGTTTGTTGTTAAAAATACGTTTTACGTTTAAAATATTTCCAAATGCTCCAGGTAGCATGCAGACTTTCTAAAAATTACACGGATTATCCTGACCCATGAAGAATAATTATACATTTCCATGGTTAGGTAGCCCTTATCCATGGAGACTATTCTGTACCCTTCGACAATAAACTTTGTGCATTTCTTAGCAAAATCCTTGGGCTCAAATAAATCTATGTACAGAAGTGTTCAATGGACCTACCTACCTGCAGAAAACTTTCAAGCGTTAGATAAGGTCAACGGGCAATTGAGTGACTAGCAAGCAAACTACGTCTATTATACTTAAAAATAATTTTTAAATATAATATTTTAAAATAAATTTTTTTACTATTATTTGATAAAATTTACTTGATAAAAATTCGAAACATTGTAATTAAAATTCAAAACAAATTTACAAATGAATTTATTTATTTTTATTTATTTATTTATTTATCTTAATTTAAGAATTCAAGTGTTTAAGATTTTTTAATTTAATTCATAGATAAATTTTTTAATTTATTCTATGAAGAAAAAATATATTAAAAATGGAAATTTTCACAATCTGAAGATATTCATGGTGGTTCGTGGTACAGTGTAATAATAAATCACGAACTTTCGTTGGACAAGCAAATTTTTCAAAGGTTGGGTATTGACAATGAGGTTCGAAAGAAGATGGTGAAAACGAATTTTCAAACGGGGCCTGTGCATACTTTGTAATGCCGTGTTTCAGGTACCCTGAAAGTCATAACTCTTAGACTCGTCATGCTTTTCAAACTAAATTTCGTTCAGGTATATCCTACACTAGCGTTCCTCAAACTTTTTCTACAGAACACTTCACAAATCCTGAAATTTTAACAGAACGATTGCTATTTTTATAAGATTTTTATAAAATAAGGGATAGATATAAATAAATTAAAACATTGGTTTTGATAGGAGGAACAGAAGAACGCGAAAAAAAGAGCATCTGATTTTTAAATATTTTTGAATTTGTTTGAATTTGCCTTAATATTTAAAACACAATATTAATTTTAATTAAATTCATGAAACATTTATTCATTTTTTTGTAGAATACAATTTGAGAAACGCTGACCCTATACTTTTAAATAAACAGCTTGAAAATGAATCTGTCATCCAAACGACGTATCCTTACTATTGCAATAAAATGAAATTATGTTTTTTTTGTTCATTAGGATGGTTCAAGATTACTTTATTTTTTCCAATTTTTTGTTAATTAAAAATTCACATTAAGGTACATAACCAAATGTTAATCAGTGCTATTTCTGATATTTATAAAATAGAAATCTTTATTTCTTTTAAAGGATATCGGCAACCTTAACAGTCGGCAACAATGACCTTGAAACCATTAGTAATTAAAGGAGATAATTAGATGTTCCGTTTTTGGGGAAAACTTTACATGGTAAATTAAATATATTTAAATATGTATTACAAATATATCGATTGTATTTGTTTCTTTTTTCATAAAATTAAAATTGATAATATATTTAGAAATTAATGATTTAAATATTGAATAAATGTTTAAAACCTTGAATCATATTTTTTTCGTTTCAAAGTTCATCACTGATGTCTGCGAAGGCATATTTATAGATTAGCCAGTTACTTACAATTCTGATAACAGTTAATATCGTATGCGTATTAAATTGGTAAAATTAATTTGAAAATGAAAAACGGGAATCAAATAACCGCCGAAGCTTTGAAGCAACAGGTATTTGAATTTTTTCATTTTTTTCTTTTTATTCATTTTTTCTTGTTTATGGTTTTTAATTGTTTTCGCAGTGACATTTAAGGTTATGTGATTTTTTATTAGTGTTATATATGTTATTGTCAAAAATTCACAAATGAAAGAGAAATAAATAAAAAAATGTAAATAATAAAAACTAGTTATTCAATTAGAGATTAATGATATTTAATCTTTTAAAATATATTTATTTTCATATAATAATAATATCTAGATTTAATATTTAACATTTTATTTTTTTGTAAACAGTACTTTACATTATTTTTGTAAATAGTACTTTAACTAAATTGTTTTTGAATAATTAACAAAATTAATAATATAAATATATATATTACTTAAAAATATAAATATTGAATGTTATGAAATTAAATTTACACAAATTTCGTAAATAATTTTTGGAAGAAAAGAAAAATTTTCATTGATATTATATAATAAAATATTTATCAAGTTAATTCAATTCAAATTAAAATTAATAAAAAAACATTGGCATAAATTAATTTAAAAAAATTAATTTTAATCAAATCGTTTAATTATTAAATGCACAATTAATTTATTAAATTTATAAAATTCAGAAAATACAATATAATATGTTAAAAATTTTTTGAAAATATATTTATATTCTTATTTTGTTCTTATTTCAAAAATAAAATTATTGGGACTATTTTAAAAATGTAAAAATTTATGATTGATGATACGTAAATTTTATTTTATTGTAGATATATATGTATATATACTATTATTATTTACATACAATATTTATTTTTGAATCTATACTTAGAATCTATACTTAGAATACATATATAAAATTATTCAAATTTTATTTATTTTATTAAATTATTAAGATTTTAAATAATAAATAAATACTTACGTTTTCTTACTCGCGATATAAGGGGAATTCCCTCCTCTTCGTAACGGAACATTGCGTTTTTGTTTAGATAAATTTTTTAGTTAACGTATTCGTGCTGTATAACAGGCTAGACCGGCTATACAGTGCACAACTGAAACTAAAATGTGCATCGATGAAAATTAATCAGTGAATCAATTGCAATTCTGTACTTATCATGTTTACAAATGTTTTTTGTATCATATATAGTGATTAATTTTTAATATTTTTAGTTATTATGTTCATTATCACAGAAAACTTATCTTATCTATAATTATATTCCTTTTATCCTTATCATTTTATCCTTTTTTTTACATAAAAAAAATAAAATAAAATATATATAAAATAAAATTATTTTCCATTTTCACTACAATGAATTTTTGTAACAATAAATATATATATAAGTATATGTAATATACTATATATATATATATAATAAATATATATATAAGTATATGTAAATTATCTAAAGTTTGGATTCAAACCAGTTTGAACAGCTGAATTTACAATTAGTTACTATAAAAAATATTTTTATTTATTATTTTTATATATATAATATTTATATTATTATATTATATTAATATAAAACACAAAAAATGAAATGTATTAAATTTAATACATTTATCATTTTCAGATAATTTTTCATCATATATATAAATATATCATATTAACTGTGCAATATAATATGAAAATATAATTTTTCGTTTTGAACAAATTTTATATGCAAAATTCATTTATATTTCTAGGGTATCGAATATGTTTTTGGAATAATGGGACATCCTGTGATCGATTTAGCCTTATCTATGCAAATTGCGGGCCTTCAATATCTTGGATTTAGAAATGAACAAGCTGCATGTTATGCTGCGCAAGCTTATGGATATTTAACGAGTAAGCGGCAAAAAGGAAGAATTGTTACATATGAAACAAATGATTTTTAAGATATAATTAAAATATTCATTATTACGTAAAGGTTTTTTCTTTTATTTATGCCAATATCACGAATTAATTAATTTTTATAATTAGGAAAACCAGCAGTAGTTTTATGCGTCTCTGGGCCAGGATTGCTTCATGTTATCGGAGGTATGGCAAACGCTCAAATAAATTGCTGGTAAATCTTGTTTTGTTTATATAATTATAATATAGTTTAATTTTCATTTTATAAATTTTAAATTAAAAGTATTTTCTATTCGAAAAAAATATATTCCATGCAAAATTCATTGACACAACATATTACAATAATTAAAATTTTTATATTATTGTATTGGATTATAATTATCATGTCTTTTATTAATATATAAATCTTTCATCTCATAAAAATAGTAATCTTATATGAAATGATTATAATTATATAATTTGATTTACATTCATTGTACCATTTAATTTAATTTAAAAAAAATAATTTTTAAGTTAGATAATGATTATATAAATCATGTTTCGTAGAATTGTATTAAAAAGTGTAAAAACATTAAAAAAGATTTTTTATTCTTTTAACATTTCTTATTTTTGATTTTTGTAATTTGTTCCATGCTCTTACATAGGCCACTCATAGTAATTGGTGGATCTTGTGCTCAAGACCATGAAGGTATTGGAGGTTTTCAGGAATGGCCACAGGTAGAATCTAGTAAACCCTATTGTAAATATGCTGTCAGACCGCCGTCTGCAATATTAATACCGCTTCACGTAGAAAAAGCCGTTCGAAATTCTATTTATGGTCGACCAGGTAGATTTGATATATAGAATTTACAATTAATTAGAGTAAAAAATATACGTCTTTATTATTATATTATGAATTTTTTCAGGTGTCGCGTATTTAGATTTACCAGCTACTATCTTAAATCAATCAGTTGACGAAGAAAATATATATAATGTAGCGCAATGTCCACCACCGCCATTGATATTTCCCGATTATCGACTTATTAAACAAGCGGCTACTTTGCTCATGCAAGCAAAAAAACCATTGTTAATTATAGGAAAAGGTAGTTGTAAAAATTATTGTAATAATAATATTATCACATAGATTTAAGAAAAAATTTATATCAATTACAAAATTTTTTTGGAGGAGCTGCCTATGGAAGAGCAGAAAATGAAATTCGTAGTTTAGTATATTCAACCAAAATTCCTTTTCTTCCTATGCCAATGGCTAAAGGTGTTGTTCCGGATACCGATGAACGATGTATTTCTAGCGCTAGAACATATGTATTGCAACAAAGCGATGTCATTTTATTGTTAGGTGCAAGATTAAATTGGATGTTACACTTTGGTAAATCGCCTCGCTTCCAACCTGATGTTAAAATGATACAGGTATTATAATATTGCTCGAATAATTTTTATTAAAAAAAGCTTAATATATTCATATTATAGATCGATTTGTGTCCAGAAGAATTACATAATTCTGTTTCTTCTGCAATTGCAATTCAATCTGATATATCTACAGCTATAGAAAGTCTTGTTACTATTTTGAAAGAGCACAAATGGTCTATTACAGAAAATAATCCATGGTGGAAAGATTTATTAGCTAAATCAAATAAAAATAAAACAATAATACAGGTAAATGCCATGTATATAGTACTAGTCTACAAAATAAAACATTTTTTTGTTTTTTTTTTTTATTTTATAGAAAATGTCAATGGATACTTCAGTACCATTAAATTATTATGCTGCTTTTAAACATATTCAAGATATCCTTCCATCTGGCTAGTAAAAGTTTTTATATAAAGCAAAATATATAAATTTAATAATACGATTATGAAATAAATAATAAATATTTTTTTTTTTATAGATTGTATTATTTGCTCAGAAGGAGCTAATACTATGGATATCGGAAAGATGATTTTATTAAATAATAAGCCGCGACATAGATTAGATGCTGCTACTTTTGGTACTATGGGTGTTGGTTTGGGTTTTGGTATAGCAGCTGCTCTTTATTGTAAAAATTATGCTCCTACAAAGCGAGTTCTTTGTGTAGAAGGAGATAGTGCATTTGGATTTTCTGGCATGGAAATTGAAACAATGTTTAGGTGAATAATTTAAGTTATCAAATACAAAGATTAAAAAAAATAAGATTAGATTAATTTTTTTGATAATTTTCAATATTTTAGATATAAATTGCCTATTATTATCATTATTATAAATAATAATGGTATTTATAGTGGTTTTGATAAAGAAACATTTAGGCAAATACAAGCTTCAGGTGAATCAACACAAGTGTAAGTTTTTTGAAAATATATTCATATAGAAATAGATATATAGAAATATTACAAATATATTGATTTTTAGAACACCACCAAATTGTTTAACATCAGAAACACATTATGAAAAAATGTTAGAAATGTTTGGTCGCAAAGGACACTTTTGTACTACTGTACAAGATATACAACAGGCACTTAAGATATGTCTTCAGGTAAAATAATTTTTCATTTAATTTTTATAAAATTAGCAATTTTAATAGAAAAATAACTTTATTACAGACTACTGATTCTCCTAGTTTGTTAAATATCATGATTAATCCCCAGGCAGATCGTAAACAACAAAAATTTACTTGGTTAACAGAATCAAAACTTTAAATTTATTGATTTTATAAATTTTATAACATATAATTAATGATGAAAAATATAAATAATAGTAAAAAGAAATGAAAAAAATATAAATTTTAAATTTATTTCTATTGTTTGTAAAAACAAATGTAAATATAAATATACAAAATATTTATTAATAAAATTAAATATTACATATTGTTTGAATACGCTAGTAATTTTTCTTTAAAAGCAGCAGAAGATAAATTATTTAAATTAAACTGCAATTCACTTTCACTTTCATCATTATTTAAAATATTTTTAACATTTATGTCCATGTTTTGGGCTATTGTGGTTAATGTCTTGTTTGCATCAATTACAGCTATATGAAGTTGTCCATTCTTTTTTACAAGATCATTAATTATGTCCAATTCATTTTTTCTAATAAATAAAAAAAATTTAATTACATAATTACTTATTATATATTATTTATGCAATAAATAAAATTATTTATTAGGACATATTTTGAAATAAATTTTTTATTAATAACGAAGATTTATAATAAAATAAATATTTAATTTTTAGAAATATTTGAATCTTCTAAAAATCTTACATTTTTAATGTTGTATTGTTAATAGAAATCAGTGTTTTTTGAATTTCAATTTTAATATCGATTTCACGATTCTCATCTGATTCCGTACTCATTTGCACCAAAATTTTACGAACTTTAAATAACAGGTGAATAATAATATAAAAATTATATAAAAATTTCAATAAAATAATGAATTATAAAATATCACACATCATGAAAATTGAATATAATTTATACGTATACAAAAAATATTATAACCAATGATATAACCAATGATTCTTTTTAAAATTAAAGGTAAAAAATTATAGGTCCAAAATCTTATTGCGTACTAGTTTTTCATTGGTTAATTTTATATTTTAGATATACGTTATATATACATATATAACAAATTTAAATTTATTATATATATATATATATTTGTATAAAAATTTTATTACATTATTATTATATATTTTTTTTAAATATATATCTAGTAATTAATTAAAATATATATTATTGGTTGTTACCAAGAGTAACATTCTACCAATGACAATATAGAAGGACTGTTGACTGTCGTTTCACCAATGCATGCAGCTGACGTCACTTAAAATCGTGTCGCATGAAATAGAACCTTGAAACTGTAAATTATCGTAAAAAGTCATGACACCGAAAACATTGAGTATAGAACAGAGCGACGAGACAAAACGTGTCGTGATGATAATGAACAGAGGTCCATAAACTGGAGATCGTGTACACTTGAGGTTAATCATTCTTGGTATCACGCTCCAAATGCTTGCGCAGTTTGATCGTAATTTTGTTCGAGTGCCTGGTTTTTCTATTAGCTGATGAATTCAGAATCGTTTTGTGGAACCGCGTAACTAAAAGATTATTAAGATTTTTCTAGTCTTTTGCTGACAAAATATATTAATATGGCAGATTTTGCGTTAAATGGATTTAGCAGTGATCAGACTGAGAAAATCCTTCAATTTCAGGTGAATCATCATATTATATGCTAAATTATTTAATTTTCAATTTAATTTTTGTAATTACAATGAAATAATAATATTGTGATGGTTTTAGGACTTGACAGGCATCGAGGATCTGTCAATTTGCAGAGATGTCTTACAAAGGCATAATTGGAATTTGGAGGTTGCTGTTCAGGTAAATTTCTCTTGCTATATATTCTTTAAATATTATTAACTATTATATATTTGCAATAAAATTGCAAAAAGAAATTTATATATAATTGTTTTATAATTTTGATATATTTGATTTTTATATCATATATAGGTCAATTGTGTAACAGAAGTTATTAATAATTCATTATAGATTGATAAAAGATTCTTAAAAAATATTATATATTATTTATAGAATGTCAATAATATATATTTTTATATTATTTATTTTATATATAACAATTAATATTTATTAATTAAATTTTAGAAAACTTTAGAAAATTTTTAGAAAAATAGATAAATATAATTATATTGTAAAAAAAAATGTTTTATTGTTTTATTTAGGAACAATTAAATTTGTATGAAGGAAGACCATCAATGTATGCACAGGACTCAAGATCACGACCACCTCAGGTTGTTGATGACAGTAGTTCTAGAATATATTTTCATTATTCTGGAAGCTCTAATGGCAGGGGTAGTTATTTATGGTATATCTTTTCATTATGTTATGAAAGAGTGATCAGCATCTTACAACTACTTCTTTCAATATTTAGGAGAAATGTTAGACCTGGTATGTTTCAATTTTATAATGATTAATTTTTAGAAAACAGTTCTATAAGAAAAACTAATATATTAATTGCATTTCAAGTATCTTCTGATCCTGTGGAAGATGTGATTAGCTTCATTCGAAGTTATGAAGAATGTTATGGTAGTAGTCATCCTGTTTTTTATCAAGGGTCTTATAGTCAAGCTCTTTCTGATGCAAAACAAGAATTGAGGTTTTTATTGGTATATTTACATAAAGATGAAGCTCAAAATATTGATCAATGGTGCAGGTAACTTTTTTAGATTGTTGTTGAATTGAAAATAAATTTTAAAGAAAAGTTAAAATAATTAAAATTAAATTTTGATATAAATTTTATATAGAAATACATTGGGTAATCTAGAAGTTGTTCGATATATAAATACACATACTTTATTTTGGGCATGTAATGTACAATCAGGTGAAGGATATAAAGTAGCAGAAGCTCTTAAATCTGGTTCTTATCCTTTCTTAGCCATTATTGTTTTAAAAGATAATAGAATGACAATAGTTGGCAGGTAATAATCTATGTATATATATTTTATTTTATAATTTTTTTAATTCTTAAATTAATGAATGTAATTATAATATCAAAGATTATATTTATATTGCAGAATGGAAGGCACGCCATCACCATCTGATATAATATCTCGTTTGCAAACGATTATAGATCACAACGAAATTAATTTAATACAAGCTCGTCAAGAAAGGTAAGAAAAATTAGTTAAATTTTTTATTTTTTTGTATTATATTGTTTAATTTATTTTATCATAGAGCTGAACGTAGTGCCGCGCAATCTTTACGTCAACAACAAGATCAGGCATATGAAGAATCATTACGCGCAGATCAAGAAAAGGATCGTAGAAGAGAAGAAGAACGAAAAGCGCGCGAAGAACAAGAGGCTAGAGAAAAAGAACAATTAAATGCACAAGAAATGGAAATTCAACGCATTCGTCGTGAGAAAGAACTTACTATTTGTAAAGTGCCTCTCGAACCAGAGCCTACTAATCCTAATGCATGTCATCTTCAAATTAAACTTGGAGAAAGGACAATGAAAAGACGTTTTCTAATGTCTGACACAGTAGAAGTACGTCGTTTGATTCTTAATTTATTTATTATTAATTTTAATATTATAATAAATTATTTTATTTTTTTAGGATGTATATTATTGGATATTTAGTCAGCCAGATTCTCCAGTGAGTTTTGAAATAACTACAAGTTTTCCGAAAAGAATTCTATATCCGTGTAGAGAAATTTTAACATTATCGGACGTCGGATTAACACACAGAGAAGTTCTCCATGTCAATGATTTAGATGATTAACCTTTATTGATATTTGAATATTGCATTCTTTATGTTTAAGTATCATTCCACAGAAAAATGATACTGTCGTAAGAGACATTTATAAAAAAAAAATAATATATATATATATACACATAAAAATATATATATATTTGATACATTCGAGTATTTTATGTGAAGCGTAGTACATTGTCAGAAATGCAGTTTTATCACAGATCTATAAAATATGTTAAAAAAAGAAATCAAAGAATGATTAATTGTATTGCATTTTCTGCATAGAACTATCGTATCAACTATGAGTACATTTATTATATACTGTGAATAATACGCTCACTAAAATACACATTGAATAGAAAACAACAGATTTTGTTGTAGAAACTAAAAAAAGGAACTTATATATATATATAATATGACTTCACAAAAGCTGTACACCAAACATTTATTATATTTGTCTTAATTAACATTTTAGCTTACAAACAAATTTTTTAATAAGCTGACTAAGAAATGTAAATAATTTATAAAACAAATGACCGAACATAATAAATAATTAAAGTACAGATTTAATTCATGTATGTGTATATATATATATATATATATATACACACTTCATAAAATTTTATGAATGTTGAAACTACAATAATTTTGCATTGTCTTAAATCTGTACTTTAAATATAATCAACAAAAAATTTTTAACAAGTATGGTTCCTTTTGCATTTTACTTCACAATTCTGGTCAGTCTTATTAAAAATGCTATTAGATGCAAAAACGCAATAGATTTACTAATCACATTAAATTATATCCAATGCAAGTTTCTGTATCAGAAAGAAAAAGAAAAGTTGAATGAAAATAGTTTATCTTAGAAGATAATCAAATTCTTTTTGTATCACAATTTTATAAATGTGCACATAAATATAGCTATTTCTTTTTCTTTTCATTCAGAAATATTTTTCTGTGATGAAAGTCTAAATTAAATGTTATCATATATATTTTAAAGAATATCTTAAAGAAAATTTCTTATCATTGTAAGTTCAAATAATTTTTGTTGCTTTATTTTTGGGTTGTAAGGAAATTGTTTAGAACATATGTTATTATTGATTTATTAATGTTGGGATATTGGAAGTCAAATATGTATAATTTTTAAAGTGTTCGTTTGAAGCGTTCATGATTAATTTTTTTATGCTTTTCTTTTGTAGAAAACTAAACTGAACAAAAACAAGCATACGAATTTGTATTGCTCCTTCTAAATGTTCTATGGAAGAATATAAAATATTCAAGAGCAATCTATATAGCATTTATACATATATAAATATACACATATATATACATATGCATATAAATCGTTTGATAAAATGAATATAACAATCTGTGCAATGCAACAGATTTGTTAATCATTAAATGTAAACTTTTGTATACACATTTTGTGATCTAGTTTTGATACGTCTTTATTTTCATTTAGATACTCTTCTGTATATACGTAAACCAGCAAATGTCTGATGCTGGATATTGCTATGTTTCTTTGTTAATATCTAATGCTTAAATAAACATGTTTGAGAATACATATTTTTCATTTTGTCATTTTATTATATAGTTAACCATATTTTTAATTTCATTATAAATTCCTTAATAATTTTAATTAAATATTATATATTTGTATACTATAATTTTTATGTCAATATCAAGCATCAGATGTAAGTACATCTATAGCATAAAATATAATTAAGGAATTATTTAACAAATAATTATTATATAATTATATAATAATATATAATTATATAATATATATAATTATTACATAATAATATTAAAATAAATATGTTACAAATAGCTTTACAATAACAAAAATTTTTTTGTGATATGAAAATATATAACAATTAAGACTGTATAAGAAAATATGTAATTGATGTACAAGTTTCTAGAAACTGATTTTGAAGACATTTAATCTTGAAGCATTTCATGTATATCTATATGACAGTATATATTTTGTTATCTTTAATATTTTTCATTAGATATAAAATTTAGTTTTTTTTTTAAGATAAATAATGATGATAAAAGTGAATAATTTGTTAAAGATAATTATTTTTATAAATATTAGATTTTTTGTTTTGCATATAATACAGAACAACATACATATATATCTTCTAATATGTCTAGTCTTATCATAAAGAAAAGGAAAAAAGAAGAAGCAAAAGTAATGTCTTTACAACATTTCAAAAAAGTTTCTTCATTTGTGAATATTGTGAATTTTAAATGTGAATAAATTTAAATATATGATAAATGTATAAATTCAATATATTATATCTTAAATCTTTAGATGATTAAAAAAATTTATTTCTTCTTTATTATTACTTACATTATTTTACTTTGTTATATATGTTGTTTTGGATTTGTGCAGTAAATTCTAGTAGGCTAACTCGATTGTCTTTTGTCAAAAACTGTAGTCAATTGACAAAATGATCCACTGAAGTATCATACTTCTTATAAACATATTAAAAAATGTTTATTTATTTGATAGCTCCGGTGGCTACATTATTTTTTATTTTTGGACTCTTAAACATTAAGTGTTTGTAAGTGAAATTATACCATATTTCAAGCAATTTTTCTAGTAAAAAATATTTTTTCTTTAGATATAATTGGTTACTAGCATCTTTACGATGTTCGCTGACTCTATACAATGGGTTGATATGTAGACCTGCCATCCAAACGTCATTAAATGAAGATTTTGAAAGTAATTTAACAATTGAGAGTCCTATGGCTGTAATCAGTGATAAGGCAGAATATGAAGATCTTTTAGCACAAAGCTTAACAATTAGTAATAATGAAAGATTATCAGATATCCATTTGGGAGAAACCGGAAGTAAATCAAGAAATGTAAATCTACCACGATATTCGTTTGAAGATATAATATCAGAGAAAAAAGATAAAGATCTTGGATTACCTGGTATAATAAATTTTAGATTTTTAAAAAGAATATAAATAAATATATAACGAAGAACAAAGTTCATTAACAAAATAATATTTTATAGTCATGAGAACTCTACAATTAGAATTAATGCAAGATGATACTATACGAACTAAACAAGAAGGAAAGGAGAGTATATTTGAAACATTAAAAAATTCTATTGAAAAAAGTAATTATTCATCTCCTCGGTTAAATACTAGACAAATATATAATATGATCTTGAAAGAAACTCTGAAAGAAAGTGAAGCGAGACAAAAATTGTCCGACAATGATAAGTTCAATGAAGTGTCGCCAATCGAAATGTAAGATACACCAATATAATTCCATTTTCATTAATTTAATTTAAAAAAAATTTCATGATTTAATTTATAGAAAGGAACATCTTCCATCATCGTCGGAAAATAAACCTGAATTAGAAAATAATATAAATAAATAATCGAAATGTAATTAAATTTTAAAAAGTAATGTATATCAAAAATAAAAATATACCTTAAAAAACATAAAATCGTGTTTTATTATTATTTATAACTATATATTATATATTAATATATTATTTATAGAAAATTAATATATTATAAGAAAATTAATTTTTCAAAAAGATATATTAAATAATTTTTTTTATAAGTATCATTTCACTTATAAACAATACAAAACAATTTTTTTATGATAAAATAATTTGATATTTGATTTAAAGAATGAAAAAAAACTATTATGTCTTTGAATTTGTGAATTATCAATAATATATCTTGATACAAACAAATTTGTGATTCACCAAATATTTTATTTTATTTAAAAAGAAAAATATTTACATCTTTTTAAATTATATTCATTAATTATATTCTTTTTGGTTACTGTAGATATTGTGTAGATATTGTGATGTTATCCCAATCTAGTCTTAGAGAATATAATAAGAATTAACCTGAATAAAATAAGAATACAAAATAATAATAAAACTTAAATTGAAAAGTATAATAGTTTATATTAAATCAAATTTTTGTACTTTTTTATATGATTAAAATAAATTTAATAATAATGATATAAAATAATAATGAAAGTTACACTATTTATTTCACATAGTATTTCATTTCAAATAAAAATAATACAATTTAAAAATATGAAAGTAAAAATAGCAATTGGTGAGATTTATTTATTTTGTTTTTTGTACTTTTATATTATAATATAGAATAATATTGACAATATTATAACATTTGATAATGTAATATCGAAAATAATATTTTAATATATCTAAGACCAAATTTTTTTAATAGAAAGCAATTTGTGTTTATACGTAGAAGAAAAAGCCTGTACAATAATAAATAGTGTTGTAGATTTAAATTTATAAATGTATTACTACAATATATTTATACTTACAAATATTTTATTTATTTATTTTGTATGTGGTCGTGCTTTTGCTTTTTGTTTAGAACACTGAGCATGACTATGAGCCCTTAAACTGTTAAATACTTTATTGTTTAATTTAACATCAAATCCTCCTGTGTCTCCTGTATGAATTCCTGGTGGGAATTGTAACACTCTGCAGGCATTTATCCTTGAAGACATCAACATATCATGTTTTGTAACAATTTGAGATCCCTCACCACCCATTTTTCTATATCCACAACGTGGTATAGAAGCATATTCTTTCTCTATACTCTATAAGCCATTAAATATGTAAACACAAAATTTACAAAGAAAATTTTATATAAAACTTTTTTTTTATTGTATCAAAAAATATTTACCACAAATCTATCAAAATCTTTAGTTGTATCTTCAATATCTGTATCTTTATCATCTTGATCATCACAAAGAGAAGTTCGATAATTTGTATATGATATATTAACTGTAAAATAAAAGAAATCAAAACACTGAAAATATAATATTAAAAATCTATATAAATTAAATATACCTTTAGAATCACGATTGAATTTTTCCTCTGTGCGTTTTAACATTAAATCATATTCTTTGTTAAATTGATCTTGTAACATATGTGCAATTACTTCATCGCTATCTGTATCATTGGTTTCATATATTGTACAGTCTTGAATGTTTACATCATTTTCTGTCTCATTTTGATACTTTTTTAATTCTCTATTATGAAAAATATACTTGTATTCAATGAAAATCAGGAAACATTAGAACACTTACTTTTCTTGCAAACTTTTTGCTAGTTGTTCTGAAGTTATCTCTAACAAATTAATAGGTCCTTCTACTGGTTGAATTTTTGCCCATGGAGTTGACATTTCTTAGATGTGTATGAATAATAAATTACAAATCTAGAAAAACGAATACAAGTATATTTTTATTAATATAATATGAAAATATAAATAAAGTTTATCTTAAATTTAAAATTCAATCTAAAAGAAAGGTTAAATTCATTTAAAATAAATAATTAAAATGATATAAAAAAAATATGAAATTTTAATATTGAATAAATTTATCGATTGTTTTATTTGTTATGATATGTTATATGTAATATATAATTATTGTGTGGAAGATCTTTTTCAATATTTTACACTTCATCTGAATGATTTAAGTAACATTATCAAACAATTTTCAAATAATTTTAATATAAAATTTAAAATGATTTTCATAAAAGAAAATTAAAATTAGAATATATACCTTAAAACTAAAATAAATAAAAATTTGGAAGACTGTAAAAGATAAACGAATAAAGAATTAGAAATGTCAGTACGTATATTAAACTATATATATCTATCACGTGAAGTTGAATCAAATAATAGAATGATCGATAAACGTTTCAAAATAAACTAAAAATACAGTAGAAAATTTAACAAATTTATCGAAATTATTATATATTATATAATTATAGATTAAATATAATCTATATTATATATAGATTTTGTTTAATTAAAAAATAAAAAAATATTTTTTTTTTTCATTTTTAAAATATTTTATTTATCAAATGAATTAATAAAAACTATTATTTTTAATATTTTATTAAATTATCTAATCTTATTATATCTAATTAATAATAAACTAGGAATGAAATATAAAATGATCAATCTTTTTAATTTTAAAATATTTTATTTATCAAATGAATTAATAAAAACTATTATTTTTAATATTTTATTAAATTATCTAATCTTATTATATCTAATTAATAATAAAGTAAGAATGAAATATAAAATGATCAATCTTTTTAATTTTAATATTACTGATATGATATATTTTATTTTATACATGTTTTTTAAATACAAAAATCATAAAAAATAATTTTAATTTATTTATTGTGTAGTTTCTATTTCACCTAAATATATTTGTTTATCACTGGAACCAGAACAAACTGAAAACAAAAAAAAAACATATTTGCAATTAGCTTACTATATATAATATAACATATCAATTATCAAAATCATAACTTTATATTACCAATTGGTTCTTTTGGATGGAAATCAATATCATTAACAGAGCCATTATGACCAGGCAGTTTGTATAATATCCTACGACTTGTAGTATCCCAAATATAATGAAATCTATCTGATGATCCAGCTGATACTTTACTACCATCTAATGACCATGCACATCTCAGAAGATTCTAAAATTATTTAAATAAATAGAATCATAAAATCTCAATAATACATATAATTAAAATTAAAAATACCTTTTCAAAGTTATGCTGATGTCCAGAAAGAATTTTTACACAACGTTCATAAGGAGCAAATGGTCTTACATCCCAAATTCTCAATGTATTATCCATAGCATTAGATAATATATAAGAACCATCTGGACTAAGACTTAATCCAGTTATTGTATCAGAATGCCCTTTTAATTTATAAAGAATTGAATTTTTTCTTAAATCCCATACTTTTATATCATTATCTATTCCACCACTTATTACTTGTTCTGCTGTATCATTAAATGTTACAGCAGTGAGCTAAATGAAAAATAAAAATAAAAATAAAAAATATAATTAAAATCTAGTTAAGAATTTAAAAATATATAAATATAATTTGGAAATATTTTTATGTATTGTTTACTTGATATGTGTTATTTAAAGTATAACATTGTCCTCTTTTTCTGGGATCCCAAACACGTATTGTGCTATCATCACTTCCTGAACAAAGTTGTGTAAGACCTCTCCTTGCTCCAGATACAGAATTCACAAAAGAGGTATGACCTTTAAGCTTTTTTATTCTAGTTCCAACAGCTATATCCCATAAACCCAATGTCATATCTGTACTAGCAGTATATAAATGATTGCCATCAGGACTAAAATGTAATTCCATAATTGCTCCACTATGTCCAGTCATTACAGAAATATTTTCACACTCTCCATATACATTCCAAATAACTGTAAATATAATATTATTTTCACATTTACTATAGAATTATTATATAGAAATATTATTTGAAACTATTATTTTAAAATATATTTGAAACTTAAATTATTGATAACATACAAATTTGTCTATCAAAGCCAGTTGAGGCAAGATATTGACCCTCTGGATGAAATTCAAGAGAAAATATATCTCCTTGATGTCCTTCAAGAAGCATAATAGGTGCAAACAAAGAAGATGTTCTAGGTGGACCCTGCAAAGCAATATAATTTTATTAAAAAAATTGATTAGAATTCATAAATGTAAGGTTATTTTAACTTACATTTTGTACAACCGCTTTTTCTCTACTACTAAAAACCACTTCATTTTTAGTCCTTTTTGAAGCAGGAACTAATGCTAAAATATCATCTCCTTTACGTTTATCTAAAATTGGCATAATGAATAATTTTAATTTTCAATTGTATTTACGATATTTTATAAACACATTTATATATATGTATCACAGATAGAAATGTAAACTTGCTAGATGGCACTCTGATCATTATAATCGAATATTGCATTTCCTTTCTTAAATCTTCATCAATAACACAGATCATATAATCAATGTCTTTCGTTATATAATTTCATTTAATATTATTTTACGTGTCCATACATATATGAATATAAATTTAAAAATAAAAATAATATTGAATTTATAAATTAAAATTTATTAAATATGATATACATTTTTACTATAAATATTTTCATATATTTTTCTTAAACTTCTCTTAGTTAAAATTAAATTATCGAAATATAATATCGAAATATATGATAATCAATATATATATATATAAAAAAAAATATATATATAATATAATATATATATTATCATTATATATGTATATATATATATAAATTTCATAAATACATATTTACATATAGTCATTACTATTGCTGAGAAGAAAATGTGGTTTTTTATATGAATAATAAAGTAATGCAATTTTTATTAAATTGATTACAAAATATTTTTTTGTAATTAATTAAATTATTGGCAGTCTTTTACTTCATATTCAATTAAAAACCACATATAATATAAATTTAAATTTTCTAGAACGGACTAAAAAAATTCTATTAATATTATTAAAATATCACTTCGATAGTTGAATTATAATCTCAATGATACTTTTATATAAAAAAAAGAAAAATGTCCTTGAAAATTCAAATTTATCAAAAATTGATGATTTCCAAATATATGACGTAATATCTATACACAGATATATAGAATATTCGTCTTTGCCTTCCTTTTATAAAATATTTTTCATATGATTTGCATCTTTACTAACTACCCAATTGAATATTTTAATGGTTGAATTTACTACAATAACATAGATGTTGGATTTTCCATAAAATTCTTAAAGACTGATAACCATTGTGCGCCTACGGCACCATCTACAGTACGATGATCGCAACTGGCAGTTACAGACATAAATTGAGAACTTGTATATCTAAAAAATAAATTAGTAAGAAATAAAATAAAAGAGATTAAATAAAAAGAAATTAGAAAAAAAATTTTACCCTTTCTCATTTTTGGCAGGTATTAATCTTGTTTCAGTTGAACCTACAGCTAGAATGATTGATTGAGGAGGATTTATAATAGCAGAAAAGCTTTTAATGCCAAACATTCCTAAATTCGACACAGTAATAGTTCCTCCTTGGAATTCTTGTGGTTGTAATTTTCCTTCTCTTGCTTTCGTTGCTAATACTTTTACATCTTTACTTATTTGAACTATACCTTTTGTATCTGCTCCAAAAACTATTGGTGTAATTAAACCTGTATCTGTACTTACTGCTACACTTACATCAACACTATTATATCTAAAAACATAGAAAATATTAAATTGAGACCATATAATTATAATTTCTGTTATAATAATAGTTAGTAATAATAACTGCTTATTACTCACTGTCTAATAACTTCTCCCAGCCATGAACTATTACCTTCAGGTACCTTTTTGCAAGCCATTGCCATTCCCTTGATGATAATATCATTTACACTAAGTTTTACTTTCTCTTTTTCCAATATCTTATTAAATCGCTCTCGCATTTCAAGAGCAGCATCCATTTTTATATCTACTGTCAAATAATAATGTGGAATTGTTTGTTTACTTTCTAGTAAACGTTTTGCAATTATTGCGCGAATATTGGACACAGGAATATCAACTCCTTCTGCAGGTGGAACTGCAGGTGCTACTGTAGGTGCTACTGCAGGTGCTACTGCAGGTTGAACTGCACTTAAAAGTGGTGCACCTTCTAAATCTTTAGATGTTATGCTTCCATATAATCCTGTACCTTTTATACCCTACAAAAAAAATTCATTTATTTTAAATTTTTAAATTAAATAAAAAATATATATATAATATAATAATAATAAAATTTAATAAAATCTATGAATCTATTATTATATATATATATATATATATATACTTTTTATATAAAATTACCTCCAAACTGAGACCCTTCTCAGTTGCAAGTTTTTTAGCCCATGGACTAATCAATATTCTAGTTTCTGGTAGTGGAACAGAAGGTACTGTAGGTGATGGTACAATAGATGGAGGAGCAATTGGTGGAGCAGTTGGTGTAGGAGCAATTGATGGTGGGGCAGGAGTAGGTGGTGTTGGTGTTGGTGTTGGTGTTGGTGAAACTGGTGGTGGTGCAACATCATCTTTAAAATCTTTGAAGGCAGCAATACTACCTTCATCTGCGACAATTATGCAAACTAATTTTCCAATAGGAATATTTTTTGTTCCTGCAGGTATTAGAATCTTTGCTAAGTACCCTTCTTCTGGTGTTTCAAAGCCCATTGTTGCTTTATCCGTTTCAATTTCAGCAAGTAAATCACCTTCATTCAATTTATCCCCTAAAGTTATAAAATTATAAATATAAAATATTTTTATTAAGAATTATTAACAGTTTTATACATATTATAATATATATAAATTATTCATATTACCTTCCTTTTTGAGCCAACTGACAATGGTACCTGTTTCCATAGTAGGTGATAATGCAGGAAGTTGTACTTTTACATGGATTGGATAATCTGCATAAAATCTTAACTGTTGCTTCCATGGAGTTATCGAAAGATGTAAAGTATTATGAACTTGAATTCTAAATACCAAAAAGCAGTAATTTATTCTAAAAATGTTTGAAATTAAAGAATAGAATAAAATTTATTTTTCAATTTTATCTTTAATGTAAATAACAATTTATAATATATTTTAAATGAAAAAAAAACAATTAAATCAAATGTAAAATTATTTTTAAAATTAAAAATTAAATTAAAAATAAAATTTTTGTAAAAACTTTACATATATAATTTTAATTATGTTCGTCAATAACAGGTGGAAATATCATATTGGGAAACTTTCAATAGAATGATATAAGAAATATTCATTAAGATAACCTTAATCATAATTAGGAATGTAAATC